ACAGGTCAAAAGTCGCGGTTCAAAAAATATAGCAACCCCGGGCCCAAAGTAACAGGGACAAATTTTTTGGAATACTCGATTTTAGAAACGTCTTGGGTGTCCTTAGAAAGCTTGCTCCTGATAGTTATTGATACGTGTTCAGCTTCCCAAATAAGTGCTTGAAAGCAAGTTAGTGAATGATTTGAAGGTCAAAAGTCGCCTTGTGCAGAAAAGTACACGTGCTATTTTTAATTAAATTAAATTTACGAAAATCTTACTATGTTGGAAAGAGAATAATTTTGAATTTCGGAATCAAATCACTTTGGCTGAAGCTCGTATTGAAGGAAGTTTATAGCCTTAGACAATGGGTTGAATAGGTGTTGCATATTGAAGAACGTAAGGTTTCACTATTTCATTGGAGCGATATTTTGTCTGATTCTTTAAGTTTTTATCAGTTTTATGTTGTCAATATTCGGTTGGGTTCGCATATTTCATCTCCGTATTTTGGTAACCCTTTGAGTACCGGTTTATTTTGAATTGGCCCGAAATACTTGCAAAAAATTTTTTCGTCGTTTGCAAGCAGCGATGATTTTGTCGTTGTATTTTGCTAAGTTCATCTTAATGAGTTAACGTAGAATATATTGATGGTAACACTGTCTCTACACAAGTGTTACAGCAGAGCGTCACCATCCTTCGTCTCCAAAGGATAGCAGATGAACGCTGACAAACTATCTTTAGGGACGCGCCTTCTATTCGAATCAAAGCATAGTTAGGGTCGCATCCAAAATTGTGCATAACACATGATAAGTCCGAATCGGCCGAATCAGTATTGAGTCTCACCCACTAAAGTGGGACATGTCGTGCAACAGTCCTATCGTCCAAAGCAATACAAATATTGGGGGGGGGGATGCGCTGGAGTTGGTGTAAAAGCGGAAGCGAAACGGTTCACGTATCCCGGGAATATTCCCCAACAACAATTGAAATTTATGAAGGCTGCGGCAACTGTCGCACCCTTTAGCCCCTCTTATTGGATAAGAGAGCCCAATATTTTTCATTTTCTTAACAATCTGTCAAGTAAGAATACTGAACAATTAGACGGAGAAGCTGGTCTAAGTAAGTAGAACTCGAGTCTTAACCCATTGCGGACCGCGTGCTGCACCGTGTGTAGCACGCCATCACGCGGAGAAGGATAGTAATCTTTGATTTTTTCAGCATTTTGTTAGATGGCAAAATCAACAGTTTACTTTTTCAGACACAAGATATATCATATATTTGCGTACTGGTTGAATTTTCGATGGATTATTGGCCACTGATAAAAGAGGTGACAAAAACCTACGGAGGTGCGATTATAACGGCGGTCCGCAATGGGTTAATGGGGACCACGGCACAACTTGCGAGGCTAGCTGCCGGCGGCCGCTATTTCCTTCTTGAGCATCTAGAACTCTGTTTCTTACTTCAAATGTGAATGTAGCGAAGGTAGAATGGGGTCGTATGGAAAGAGAGGCCCACAGTGACGCAACCATTCCCTCGACTATTTTCACCTCACATTCGAGGCCAGGATCCGTTTGAATACAAGAGCGCACAGATGCCCTCTTTCAAGACACCTTTCATTCTGCCGCCTGCCTTCAGAAAGAATTTTGCATTGTCTATCTGCAGACCATCTGGTGAAATTTCTCAAACCTAAACGCTCCAGGATTCCAAAACACAGAGAAGAACATTTGACGCGCTCTCTTTATGCAGTTAGATTTTGATGTTGCACACCGACCAAGTTGTTCGGCGTACAACAGCTTTCTTCTCATTCTGATGTCAATAATTAGAGACTTTGGTGGAAAATCGTACTACAGTAGAGCCAGCAGATCAATATGAAAAGAGCACAACAACAACATGTGTATATCTGGGATTACTGGAGAGAAAAAAATTTAGGTTAGTGGGTACCACGAGCTGGATGAGCACGGTAGTATGTACACGGTGTTGCATGCCAACATCTGATCGACATGCATCGCTTGTGTGCAAACTGTTTTGATAGGTGCGACCAAAAACAGAGCTTCAACGACAGTAGGCAGCTCAGCAATTTTCTGTTCCGTGACTATGCTAAAGATACCCTACTACACTTTCAAGACTGGAAATACACCAAGTAGGGATCACCTTAACCGTAAGGGAACTTTCCGCAGGACTGCACCACTTTTTTAGAAACTGAGTCAATCTATTGCATTACCAATATCCATTCAACACATCGACAAGAAGCACAAATAAGGGTTGCGACCAACAGAGCAGGGGCAATTTTCGTCCAACAATCGGCCATATGCCGCGCAAACAAGTACGAATTTTTACAGTACGTGGCGTCGGTCTCTATGTGCTCTGTCGAAATGCGTTTTCATTATTGAGTTCTTTTCCATATGGAGCCTTGTGTCGTGGGACGAGATTTAGCACCTGTCATCTCTTCGAATTGAATTCGACAGCAATCTCCTTGAAAGCGGAAATCTCAACTTTTCTCTTCCTATGCAGCGCAAGCTTTGCTTCTGAGTGTATTCAAAACAATATCAACTCAGCATATCATCGCATTCTTAGTTCTTACTTATCTAATGCCTGCTAGTGGACAATGCCGGTGTTTGGTTCGAAATTCAATGAAAGTCCTGCATTTAACTGTTACAAAGGCAAAGTCAAAGATAAGAGCACAGAGTGGACAGGGATAAATGAAAGCATATCTGAGAAAAAATACATGAAGTTGACTGTAAGACTGGAAGTGGAAAGAACGTAATATGAAAGAGATCAAGAAAGTAGAATAGTAAGACTCGGCACACACTGGCGAAGGCACGCAGTAAAAGGAAAAGGGTGTTTTCCAGTCCATATCAGAAATTCTCCCACAAAATAGCAGCCCTCCAAACCCAATATGTTTCTTGGAACAGCTGCACAAGCCAGATACCTACCAATGTCTCCACGAGTGGTGGCCGAATAGTTGGCGCACCCTCAAGAAATAAATCTACATCAAGCAGCTACATTCTCTTTTAACCCATTCGCGACCGCGCAGGATTGCGCAATAGCAGCAGCGTCAGAAGATTTTTCTCAATAAAATCCGAGTGAAGGGAGATTTCTTCTGTCCAGGGCTGGCGAAGATGAGCGAGGGTATGAAGATTCTGTCCATGGAAGAAAATTTTCCAAATTCCATTTCAAGCCCTGCAGCCAAAGTAATACCATTGTCCCAAGTGAGAGATTTGTCAGCCACCGGTGGATGACATTGTCACGAATGGGTTAAGAGGTTGTGCACCATCAAACCTAAAAATCGCTGCACGTTTCCTAACTTCTCTACTGGTTTCATTAGTTAAAACCACATTTTTAGTTGAATCGCACGTCATGAATCGTTTCGAAATTTTCGATACTCAATTTGAAAGATGGGACCGCAGCTATTCTGAAACTGTGGAGGAATCTCAGATTCTGAACAACATAGCGTGGCGAATTTGGATCGAAGGTTTTTCACTAGCATTTTATTGCTTTCTTCACCATTCATTAAACTGTTAGTCCCTATTTTCCATCAACCTAAAAATCGTGCACGTTTCCTAACTTTCTACTGGTTTCATTAGTAAAACCACATTTTTAGTGAATCGCACTTCATGAATCGTTTTCGATTTTCGTATACTCAATTTGAAAAGATGGGACCGCAGCTATTCTGACAACTGTGAGAATCTCAGATTCATGAACAACATAGCGTGCGAATTTGATCGAAGGTTCTTCAACTAGGCATTTAATTGCTTTCTTCACTCATTAGCATTAAACTGTTAGTCCCTATTTTACTGAAAACACGCCAAACTAGGTACTTACCTCCTCATCCTCTCCTTTGAGAGTACTGATCGAAATCCTTGATGTCCTTCCAGTAATCTCCGACGGAGGATACGAGTCCGCAGGGCGCTCTCGGCTACAAAGAAGACCTTTTCTTGAAGTAAACGATCTTGCCTTTTCAGACGATGCTGAACAGTATGTCCAAAAAAAGTTTTACCCCGTTTCTCTTCGACGTCTCTGAAAAAAATGAACTATTTCTCTTCGAATTTTTACCAGCTATACCTCATGGAAGCAGTGTTGATAACTTAGTGAAGATCCATATGTGGAACCAGGGTCAACCCTTCGTTGGTACAAGTACCAACGAGCGGGGGGGGCGTACTTGGTTTAGCTTGGAAGGGGGGCTCGTACCTAATTTAGTCGCTTGAAATCACGTGATGGGATTGAGGTGAAACTAAGATTTCGTGGGTAGTAGGCTGGGCGAGTGGAGGGGCGCAGGATAAAAATACCGTTCCCCCCGCTTGACGGCATTTTTGGAGGAAAAAGTGGGCGGGGTTTGGTGAGTTGAGCGGCATCAGAATTAAGTACTATAAAGACGATAATGGTGGTCGAGGTGTCGAAAAGGGGGTTGTATCAAATCCACCTTGGGGAGGGGGGTCGTAAAAATTTTTCAGAAAGTAACAACGATAGGACCGACCCTGTGTGGAACACAGACTTGCGCCCGATTTTAAGAGCAATGCGGAGCCCCAAAAGTACAGTTTCACTTGGTTTCCTGCCTTTAGATTGTAGGATTACTTGACATTGTTTCCCTGTCATCTGATGTTTTGCCAAGCCACGCAAGGTGAGACGCGATCATAAGAATAAGAACAAGGTTAACCAGGGCTTACAACAACATGGAAGCCAATAAGATCGTTAACGCAAGAAAATAGGTCGACTTCTCGACTTGACCAGGAAGATCGGTCACAATATGAACCCCTAAGGCAGAAACACAAAAGTCAAAATATCGGTAGAGCTTTCTGAGAGGCAGGAGGATCGAATCCATAACGCGGTACCTAACTAGGAAAGGTGTGCGACTGCTGAGTAGGGAAGTGGCAGTAAAGGCTCTGTTGACCGGTTGCTTAACTAAGTCTCCACACATTGCACACAGACACTTTGATTACGCCATAACATATGGCGCACACGCATGCACAAGGAACCCTAGCAGGGACTGGTATTTTTTCAAAAATTCGACGATCCCTCTTCGACCTTCTGACATCCTCAAATTCCATATACAGCCGCCAATCGCAAATACGACCCCACCCTCCTTGTTGGTACTTTTACCAACAGACGGTTGACCTTCGAAGTTGTTCCAAGGAGTACAGCTACTGAGCGCAACAACGGGACAGGGTGACATGCAGTGATGATCCCTTTACGTAAGACAAAATGGCCAAGTGTTAGAAGTATTTTTCGCTACCATAACCTTTTTAAGCGCCTCCCATGGCTTCTTAAGCGTCAAATCCTGTTCATCATACATTGCAAAAACTTCACTGCTTACCACGGCGACCTTGTAAAGGACTTACTGCCCCATACAACAAGCGACTCCCATCCGTGCACCTCAAATTTCAGCAAGAAAACGTTACCCTTCATAGGGGTGCCCCAACCAAGGTGTTGCATACGGTACCGTTTGAAACAATTTCCCGACTTGTCCTAAGACCGGCAAAGGGTGTGATTGAAGCCACCGACAGGAGATTTTGCAGGGTGCCAACTGTTACTGTTGTTATTAATTCTGATATGGAGAAAGACTAAATACCCGCGAGCCTTTATTTTGAGGACACCATGTTTTTTTTTTTCGAAAAAAAAGAACCCAAAGAGAATCTGTTTTTGTTTTTATTTCTAAATCTACTCATGACAAACTGACAGTTCGTCTACTCCGTGGCTGGTAAAGATTTAGAGAGAAATCATTCCGTTCTTCCATAGATGTTGAAAAAAAAGTGGGGTGAACCAACACTTTTGAGGCACACTGTAGCTCAAGTTTCTTCAGGATGGCTACCTTAACAACTGTTAGAGATGGCAGGTAACACCCAACTAAAGCAAATAAAATCCAAGGAAAGGAGAAACTCTCTAAAAGTATGCAACGGTACTGGGAGCCATGAACCCTCCTTCAGTTGTGCAGAATCATGTTAAGAGGTTGCATTAAATTCTGCCACTCAGGGTATAGGCAGTTTAATAAACAGAGTAGTAAAAATGGAACTTGCTTCTCATGACATTTACACCTTTGACATTCCTCACCAATCACTAGAAGTGTTCCTACTTTAGGAGTGCAAGTTTTGGCAAAAACCAAAAAAATACCGCGAGAAGTCTGCACCCAAGAAAAATTAACCCAAATCTTCAAGTTAAAAAAACACGTTCAGATCACATCGATTGCTTACAGATACTTTTCCCAACGTGAAATGTAGGCAGATTTGGGAATTAACAATTCCAAGGTCAAAAATATATAACGCTAGCAATCTCAGCCCAAAAGGTGTGGTGTGGAAAGTTACCCATACCTCTTGAAACTACAGCAAGTAGTGAAATAAGCACGCTACTAATTATTCGAGGCAAATAAGACCTACATGTGGCGAGAACCGCTGAAAGGTGATTTTCAATCACGATTGCGCTGAGGCCTGATCCCCCTTCTCAGTAGCTGGAATTTAAAAAAAAATAGTGACAACAGAGTATGGGGGCTTCTTTTAACCAGCCTATACCAATTACCCTTACGCGGAGAGGCTGTCATAACTTTATCACAGAGCAGTACCATCGAGAAAATTTACGATGTGTTATCTTCGAAGGGATTAAAATTAGGATTCTCGGAAAATTTATTTGTAGAAGAAAGTAGATTTATTACCAATCTCGATTTTCTGCTTCAAACTGAGAGTAGCATTCTGTAACGAGTACCTTGGCTCATGTACTCGGTATTGTTTTACCAATGAGACCTCATAAAACGAAAAAAAAATGGCAAGAAATTAATGCAACTCCCAACACGCCATTTACAATGCCAACAAAACTATGACAGTCACAAAGCCAACGCGATATACGAGGGCATGCTAATACTGATAGGTACACCGGTTGCTCACAGAGCAAATTAGATTGTTCCTAAAGAGTTGGTTCTCTCAAGGGGTCGTTCCGGGTGTGCCAAGCTTTTTCAAAATGTTTTCTTGCATGACATTGGGACAGATGTGGGGACCACAAAAGCATGGTTCATTTTTCCTGAACGGTCCTCTGAATAAAAGGGGTCCCTAGTTCGATCCCTCGACAAATTTTTGCACTTCGAGTTGACGTTTCAAAATTCGCGCAAAATGGACTTAGCATGAATAATTAGTACCTTATTCATGATTACGACCGTCAGTAACCCTTGAATAGACCTTAATTGAAAAACTGGTGAAAAAGGCGTTGCCCCCTTTCCTGGTATTCAGAGGGCGTTCAGAAAAAATTAACCATGGTTTTGTGGTTCCATATGTGCCTCTATATCATGCAAAAGACCGTTTCGAAGAAGCTTAGCGCACCTTGAACGACCTTCCTTGTCAGTTTCGTAGTTTGCCACAATGTCAGAAAACTCTAAGCAGCCCACCCCCAGAGCCCGATATTGAGGAACATCTCAACTGCTAACATATCCGTATATCAAGTTACATATGCGATTCTCTTAGTTGTTCTATTGACGTGCGTAAAGTACTATGAATGCTTCTGTAGAATTGAGGAAGGGCCTTTAACACGTAACTAACATCGTCGCACACTTTTCGGAAGTTCTATTTCAGTTGAACAAGGAAAAGATTCTAGAACCTAATAACATGCAATGAAATAGTGATTCCTTTAGGGTTTTTGAACAGTACACACCTGTGCTGTGGGAACACAGGAGGAACTACGACCCGAGATCGTTCCTTCTGTATTTCAGCAAGACGTCGAATCGCTTCTTCACAACGACTTTTCTCTCGCTCCAATTCAGTGGTCAATTCTGCCTCCACGACCGCTCGACCAGCAATTTCGTCACGAAGAGCTCGTAGCTTCTGTAAGGTTGGTAAAATTGAAATTCAAAACTGCTGAAAAAGAGATATTTCTAGTGATTTTGTTGTACCTAAAGCAGAGTAATGAACTTGAGACCTTTCTAACCCACCTTTTCTTTTAGGTTCGTCTCGTCCTGCAGTTGTTTTTCAAGCCCTGAGGACCGTACCTGAAGCTTGTAACACTCGGCGCCGCGAAGTTTCAACATCATTTGACAATTCAGCAACTCCTCATTGCTGTAAAATTACCACAACAATAGTGGAATAGTTCCAAAACAGAAGAAAAGAGCGTAAGTAACATGGAAACTGCGTACGTTTTATTCGTCTGCTTCTGAGCTTCCACTAGCTGAGCCTTGACAGTGCGATTCGCTGCTTCTAATTTTGCACACTGATCACGGTATTTCCTAGCATCGCTGAGTACAACCTTGTGAGCGGCTCTGAAAACATAGGAGGGCTCGTCAATGTACTGTACAACTTCAGAAAAAATTATTTTACTAGTACTTTTCCCCATCGCGTTCTCGAGGCGTATCTACTTCCCACTAGAACTGCAAAACCTCTCTTCAGGTCAGTTTCGACGTTATATCCATCGCAGCTGCACTGTCGCTATGAATCGCAACCAAGTTCAGGCCGCGATTATACTCTGCGGTCTCTTGCAGTTTGCGACGCTATCGCTAGTATGAAGAATTGCGGTGCAAATGCATTTAAATTTTCGTTTTGTTGAAATCGAGACTAATCCACGAGCATGAGAGGACTGACTGTAAGCGGGCTATATTTCATTTTCCATGAATCCCTGCCTCCCCCCCCAAGGCTTGACGCCCCCGTATCCTGCGATAGCGCCCACTTTGTTTTGCATTCTAGTGGAAAGTAGATATGCCTCGAGAATGCGATGGCGCAATCGATACGTACCTACCCTACAAAAAATCACAAGTTTGCAAAATCGCAAACTATGACCCCGACCTTACTTTCAGAGATTTTGACAAGTCATCCTGTCCAACGAATGCTTGAAACTTTCAGTGATCTATAATGAAACTTAACTACAAATATTCCTCGGAAATTATTTATGTTTCACAGCGCTTACGCCTTATTGCCCGATGAATTCCGCATATATGTACTACACAAAGATAGTTCAAGTAATAGAAAATTTTGCAAACGCCTCCTGTAATACGATAATGGAAAACGGAAACAACGGTACATCAATTTTCTTGCCTAAATGCCGATATGGCGCGAAAATCGAATCGCATACTTTGATACTCCGAGAAGACGACCAGAATTGTAGAAAATCTCAATTTAAATGCGCGAATGCCTACACTCCCAGTTTTCTGAAGTTTAGTTTCCACATATTTCTTTTCAACTATGTAGATATGAAGAGCGTGCTTGATTAATAAATTGGGCCACTCAGTTCAAAATGCGTGACTCACTAAAGCCATTTCCTAATAGGTTCACATTACCAAAGCTAAAAGAAGATCGGGAGGCCTCACTGTTCCAAAAAAAGGTGTTCTTCGTTAAATAAATGCAGCTATCTTATCTTACGTGTAACTCAACTCACTGAAGAGGAAATTATTCGAAGCTTCCAAACCTTTGTTCTGCGTCCTTCAAGTTACAAATGAAAAAAGTTATGACCATTAAAAAACAAAGATGACCATTTCGCGAAAGTTTTGCTCTTTTAGGCATAGCTCAGAACAGTTCTTAACAAGCAGGGTGATTAGTATCCATCGGAAGGCAAAACCTTGTAGATTCTAAACCTTCTTTGACGTGAAGCTCCGCGCATCAGTACCCATCGCGACGCAAACGCAAGGGAAAACCTGTCAGCTTTAAAGTTTCAGAATCAACTTGGTTTTAATTTTATTATGGGTTGCTGTCCGAATAATTACTGCCCGAATTTCGAAACTGTCTTCTCTTGAAGTTTTATCTTTCCAAAGAGCCAATTTATCCAGAATATAACCATTATCGTAATCACTGACATGCATCCATTTGCGGAAACCGACGAGTGCTTTCCTCCTAGAATGAGTGAATCTAGGACTCCAACAACTGGTTGAGGTCGTTTTTGAGGTGGTTGTATTTATTGACTTTTTCTCTCGCCTCTGCTGCTTCGCGGCGAAGCAAAGGGGATAGTCCGATGGAGTAATGAGGGGGTTATACGATGGCTATGGTATCGTGGTCCAGCCAATTTCCCTCAAAAAGCGGCTACTTATCTTCGAAATATGAAGTCAGGTGTTCATCTGGAGAAAAGGGATTTGGAGAATTTAGACCTGTTCACTCGCACTGCTGTGGCCGACCTCGGTAGCTGTTCCACTATGGCATTCGCAATACTTGCCCGGAACATCCACTCAATCTAACAAATCAAGATCAACATTCTCTGAACAGCAAGTTTGTGCTCTGGTTGAGCTGGCGAGTCATGACTGCGAGGTAGTCATCAGGAGTGCCGCCTGTTGTGGCCACAGTGCACTCTATGACTCATCTCCACTGGCTATCAACTAGGAAAAATCCCGTCTATGCAGCAGCAAGAGAAGACTCCGCAGATGGTCGAATGTACTTCTCGGTCATGGTCGGTCGCCGTATGCGATTCCCATTGAGGCTTTATTCTGCTGCAGCCGTTTTCATTCAGATAGCGAGCGACGGTGCATCGCATTTGTCCTGGCGCCTCCAACAAAGCCCTGGTAGTAGCGTCCGTATGCATTTCCGAATCGTAGCGCAAGGGGTCATCATGAATTGAGTGGAGGCCCAGGGTGAGGTTGATTTCCACAGTTCGTATCGTCTTTGCCATTGCGACCGAACCACTAATTCAGTGCCCGATCAGTAGCAGAGACTGAGCCCATTACAGCGCTGGATTTTCACTACTGTTCTGCAACAGCGTCTATTTGAGAATCGTCAAGCATAATCGTTCCTTGTTGTTACCGATCTATATCGACTCCTATAGTTCCCCCTATGCGGGTCTGACTTTCCAAAACGTCCTGGCTAACGGTCACGATACACTCTTTGACATATCAACATACTTCGTAATGGCACTAATTTGTCTTGAAGAAATTCGAATTTGATCAAAAATCGGACAGGAATAATGTAACAACCCGATATGTTTAGCCGTTCTAGTGCTCTCACCTACTTTTCACATGAGCACTGCCTGAGTATTACTCAGCTGGCGTTCGGTGTCGAGTTTTTGCCGTTCTCTCGAGTAAACATTGCATATACAAAACTGATGCGGTGCTGGGAGCAGGGTCAACTCTACGTTGGTACTTGTACCAACGTAAGGCGTTCGTACTTGTACCAACGTAGGGTTGACACCAGGGTCAACCGTTACGTTGGACAAAGTCCAACGCGACGACGAAAGTAACGAGAGTAATGCCGAGAGTGAACATACGCACGGAGACACAGACGCTTGACGGGTGCCGAGAGTGCAGCGAGGCGCGAATAGCGGTGAAACACATCGCCAACGTCGCCCAATTTTCCCTTCCAAACTAAAGTTCCCTGTTGGAACACTGCTCCCAGCCGCCTCAGTTGTTGAAAGCTCGTGTTGGGGTCGACTGTTCGTAGCACGAAATTAAATGTGATGAGGTAAAGCGCGCGGTGAGAAAATTTGCTATTTCAGCGTTGCGTAACAGGGGGTGCCAATAAAAAACGACATTTTGTCTCCACTTCCCGAGATGGATTTAAGAACACCACATATTAACTCAAATTCAGACGCGAAAGGTCCTCAACTTATATAAAAGATCGCATCCCCTTCTACACGAAAATCTTATTGTGAACACCTACGGGACGGCAATCAGAAAAATTTGCCCTGAAACATCGTGCACTGGTCAGCTCAATGGGGTCCTCGAAAGATCGTCAGTATCCACTAACGACCCTTACGAAAGACTAAGTTACGAGGGGATTTGCACAGGGTACTAATCCTCTAGAAAACTACCCAACTTATCGATTCAACGAACATTGCGTAAGAGCTCAGGCGCTCGAACCTCTTCCGTAACCCCTTGAGCCTGACCGACGGGAACGATGAACGTCATATCGAGACGTGAGGCAGTGAAGGAGCCGCGTCACTAATAAGGAACACTTAGCAACTCGCGAGAAACTCCGTCAACTGACAGCATACCTGCGAAGAAAAAAAGCCGAATCCGACACTAGCAAAACTGTCTTTTTTCTTGGCCCGCCCGTAATATAACAGGGGGCCAAAAAAAAAAAAAGACATTTTTCCTCCACTTCCCAGAATAATTTAGCACACTTTCTTTCTCGAATCATATCGAATGGTCCCAACTTTATATTAAAGAGCGCCTCCAATTCTATAAGAAAATCTATAGCTGGCCACCTACGTGACCGGCATCGAGAAGAATTGTCTCCTGGAAACATGGTGCACTGATCGAGCTCACTGTGTCTTCGAAGGATTCTGTACCCTAACGACCTTCACGGAAAGCTCGTTTCCGAGTGATTTGTATAGTGAGTAATCTAACCCTCTAAAAAGTATCCAACATTAAATCGATTACAGAAATTGCGTAAAGACGCTTCAGGCGAGCTTACGTAATGCCGCCTGACGAACGGTACATGATGACGCATATCTCGAAGACGTGAGGGCAGTGAAGAGGCCGCGCACTTATAGAGGACACTATGAATATTCTCGCTGAGGAACTCCCGCCACACGCCGGGCAATTTCTGCGATAGAAAAAAGGGCCAAGTCCTGACATAGGCAACAAATCTTTTTTCCCCCCCCCCTGTATACCCCCCGCTCGACGTTGTTTTTCAAGGGAAAAAGAGGTTGTGGAGAAGGGGTCGTATGAAATCTGTCGTGAAGGAGGGAATCGTAAAAAGAATTTGCAAAAAAAGTCCCAAGATAGGACCGACCCTGGTTGGGAGCGCGGAGAGGGGTCGCACGAAGGACCTCCACTAGGCGGGTCGTACTGAAATCGAAAATTCACCAGCGCGGTTAACTCTCCTTGTGACTATGTGTGGTCTGGTCATTGTGAAAAAAAAGACCCCAACCATTCAGCATGAAAAATAGTATTCGCATTTTATGAGGGAAACCAATGCAAGCCTGAGTGAATGGTGCTTAAAATAGGGCATGTGCTTCAGTATTGACAGAGAAGGGATTTGGTAGGAAAATGTTGAGACGTATAAGAAGAGGAAATAAAGCTTTGACGCGACCCTACGCTTAACCCTATCTTAGATCTTTCGCCTTTTCTTTTTTCGTTTTCACCAAGAAGCCGTGAGAATTATCTTGCTCCTCATCACACTGTAATGAAAGATCAGTAAACTTACACAGACTTCACACACACACACTTCTATATTTGTCTTGGCCTACTTCTTCGACAGCCAGCGCTGTAATTGATTTGACAAACTCAAAAAAACTGATGACGATAGCGTCTCGACGGCAATTGCGGGGAATTCGAAATGAAACCGTGTCCATCTTGTTGCCATTCCCTACTCGGTGAGAATAGACACTTGCTACTTAGAGTGATATATAATAGAACTGTTAGGTTTAGGGAAGTTTTAATCGAAATTCATTCGTCTCTAAGTTTCCTCGGAGGACCGGTAGGAAGAATCTCATGGTAGGTGAACGCGGAGGGTTACTGAAGCTTCCTTCGGTGGTTGCATAATCTCGCACCTAAGCGTTTTAGGCAACAATAAATTCAAGTGAATGAGACCATTTGCAAACCAATATTTCCACAAGTTCCTACAAAAGCCATATTTCGACGCCGTCATCAACATCTGTGTTGCTTTTAACCCCGACCGCGCGGGATTGCGCAATAGCAGGAGAGTTAGATTTTTCTTTAATAAAATTTGAGTGGGTGGAGATTTTCCCTGCCCAGGGCTGGCGTAGATGAACGACGGTATGAAGAATCTTTTCAGGAAAGAAAACTTTAAAAAATCCATTTGAAACACTGCAGCGACCAGTGGATATCATTGCCCCGAGTGGGATCTTTGGCAGCCACCGGTGGCTGCCATTGTCTCGAATAGGTTAAAGAGGTCATTATATCCTAATCTAACGTACGCAGTTGATGTCAGTGCTCTCTTCAGAGACGAAGCCCTTCGCAGATTAACCTCTTCTGTACGCCCAACTGCAGTGGACAACGATATTTTCTGCACCGCCTAGAAACCGAGGAGGAAGGAGGCTCAGGGCTCGCGCTCGCGAATCATCGACTGAGCTTGATCGCAGCCACAAAATTGTCGCACAACATTGTAGCAGATCAGCGTTTCGCAAGGTAGTCTCTGGAACATGCACCAAATGCGCAATTTGGGGGGGGGGGGACTTTAAAAACCAGTGTAAGCACATCTTTGCATCTGCCTTCTCACAAAGAAGAGCTTCCCAATAGCTCGATCGGGGCGATAGCTAGATCCATCATATCAACCATCGGCGACGTCACCAATGGCTGTCCTTCAGAGGACCATTCCAAAACAGGCAGCATGTGACCCAAGTGAGAGAAAGGTTTTGCCCAACTGTTGGTGAGATTCTCAAAAGACGCTCGATTTGAGTTGCTACCAAGTTCTGGCCAATTAGATGTACGGTCAAGCACAGCCGTTCAGTGACGTAGCGTGCTATTCTCGGAAACACCTGGAACCTAAAAAATTGCCTTCTTCATGATTACGCCCGATCGCATTTTTCGAATTTGTCCTGTCAGAAGGTTATCACACTCAAAAAGTGTTACTCCATTCACTTGATTCACCAGATCTACTTCACTCGACTACCATCTGATTTGTGTGTTTAAACATCCGCTGGGAAAATCCAATGATCACTCGAAACTCTAAGATGGGATCTCAAACTTCTTTGACTTAAAGCCTCCACCGTTTTGAGCTTTAAGAATCAGCACATGTTGTGAACATCTCATCGATTGAGACCCTATTGTATCGAAACATGACACCTTCAAGGGGGCCAAAATTCCCATAAGGACTCTTTCTTAACCTGGTAGATAGTTAATCCTTTGACTGCATTAACTACGAAATAATTGTGCACCGCAGTCCCTTTGTGCACCACTCCATGATTGTCTTATGAAATCCCCCTATAGAACACTCATTTGAGGCTGATGATTGATCGACACACTACTATTGTGTCAAAGTGATATCGCTGAACGTGATATGAAATCAGCGAGGACTCATTCGAAAAACACCTCCATTGCATTGTTCTCTTACGTTTCCTCGATCATCCCGCAGACTGAATCGTTATCCCGATGGTTTGAAAAGAGGTTTGACACTTCCTTTGTAGTTGAGCCACTAATCACCTCTTGATCAAATTTCGAGCACAATACTTCAATTCAGGCCAGCGCGAAATCTTCCTTCGACTTCAACCTCATGGACTACTCTCGAGGACCACTGTAAAGTCTTGCATTTGGAGGGATTTTTTCGCATCTGAATAATGACTCCCGAAAACAACACACGTAGAATCAGGCATCACAGGATAACTTGAAAATTGCTGAATTAGGACTAGCTCCTTCAAAACGCTAAACTAAGAGAAAGGTGCAAATTCTTGAGCACTTTCAGCAGAAGAGGACTTTATGCCCCCTGGGCGGTCGGTGTAATCTAGTTGTGCAGAAATAAAGAAGCGTACAATACGTCAGTTGCAGTTTTGATAAGCGATATTATTTTTGATCAAATTTCTGACCCAATTCCAAATTGAACACATATACAATAGTAGTAGTTCAAATGCTAAGGTGAAAAATGCAAAAATGAAGAAAAAGATTCCTCAAAGGGAATTTCCTTCAAATGGAAAGGGAGCCACTCCAGTAGATGCAACTAATATGAATAGTTTGAACTACGACATATTCGAAACCTACTGCAACTCCTCCAGTTCACAATTAAGACCAGCAAGCGCTTCCTTCACTTCATCTGAATTGGCTTGCATGCCTGCAGTGTCACTTTCCACAGTTTTGGACTGTTGTTCCAACACATAACGGGCGCGTGACTAAATAAACGCAATGGATAAATAGAGGTCTGTTCTGCGGCAGAAATAAGCGAACTAAGGAAGAAAGAATACAAATCAGACAGTGAATCCGGTAAATTAAACTGTATATGTATATCCTACCTTGTAGGCCTCATAATCAGCTTCTAGATTACTACAGCGCGCCTTGAGAACTTGATTTTCCTCCAGGAGATCACTGATCTCCACTGATTTCTGCTCATTAGTTCGTTGTAAGCTGAAAATGGAAGAGGTCGCATAGGAAACTTCGCAATTTCTATAAGCTACCATCAACCATCTGCCACAGTTGAAGCGCAGTAGTGAAAAGGAGAGCATTAGATTATAAAATAATCATTTATTAATTGTTTTGGAGCTTGCGCGTACCAGTAGAAGTGTGACAGAACATGACATTACTCATCGGTTCATGTGTCAAGCGCTTAGATGCTCTCAACTAGCAAAGCTATAAGCATGAGTGGATAAGCAGTGGAGGAGCGTAAGTGAAGAGTGAAGCAGTGGGGCTAAAATAAGAAGATAAGGAGAGCAAGACCATCGGAAACTACTGAAACTCTTGGGGAAGAAACATGGTAGGACTATAGAACAACCAGCCATCGCCGACAATAGTTTAGGTAGGTATAACGGGTATAACGACTATTTGAGCAGCTGTGAATGGACGTAATGAGGATCAATGGAGAGCCGCGCAGCATGTATAAACAGAGGTAGCAAGTTGTAATCATACCCGGCAAGAAAAAATGGTAGAACGTGGAGAATACGCCGCTCACTAAAGGAAAACCCCATGAAGAGTGTTCAACAAACAATGACCACCATCAAGTTAGTCGGCGAATATATCTGACGACTGAAAGCGGCAGGACAGCGACTGAGCTGACACTGTTAGCACAAACATCGTTAAACCCAGTAAGTGCGCAGACAAATGCTACTCATTGCTCTTGTGTACCTTAAAGCTACAAAAACTGCTCATAAGGGGACCTCTTGCATATGAATAAGAAAAAACGAAAGTAGAAGTCACACAGGAACTTACAAACTGGTTAGTTCTTCATTATGGGCAATTTTCGCTTCCAATGAAACCCGCTCGTCGTTCCTGGCCGTTGCCAACACATTGAAATTATCTTGAAGCCGATCGATTGCAGTTGACAGCTCACGATTACGAGACTTTTCTTCTGTAACTGTCAAGGTTAATCGATAGAATCAAGAACACAAATGATAAAAAGGATTTTTCGATCAAATTATACAGCTTCGGCTCCTATAAATGTTCCCACGATCATTACAGCACCGGTGTTAAAAGGTCGTGGAAACAAAAACTGGACCAAGAGACCAGGTCTGATAGAAGTTCGAAAATATTCTCTCATGAAAAAAGTTCAGTGGCGACTGTGCCTAGATGAACAAGAAAATTACTGTGTAAAATTTTGAACCTGAAAGAAATGAAATTCCAATCAAAAAAGCTTCCAGTAGACGAACAGGAGCGTACAGATTTCATCGGATATATAATAACAGCAAAGAGAGCATTGCATTAACTAGAACGTTCCACATGGAAAAAACGATTCGATACTATCCAAAAAAACAACATAAAAACAAGTGTTAAGGGAGAGATGGGCGACGAAACACAACCAGCCCTGAAGTGAAGTGGAATGTTTATGCAAAACTTCTAGAAGTACAGCTGTGACGTTTCAGCGAGAGCTACACGCGTGACCGTAGATAAAATGAGCGTGTTGGATGAGAATGAGGGTCCTTATTGTGTACTGAACCCACCCTTGGGAATTGGTTAATGTTGGTAAGATGGGCTTGCGACTGAATGCAGTGCAAAGCCAGGAACAATCGACAAGGCGTTCATGAAAAACGCCCTGACCACAAAAAGTTCGAGAACAATGACTGCAAACTGACAAAAGCAGAGAAGACCACAGGATCGTTCCTATGAATAACGCAAGGTTCTTTGGAAGACAGGTCAAGCAACCACGAGGAACATTTGTGAGAAGGAGGCGAGCAGAGGAGAAGGGTCTAGCCCAAACCAAACCCATGAGAGAAGATGTCTTAAAAATATTGTGACGACAAACAAGTACAGCGACCCTGCAAGCGCAGTCTTTGCAGGGGAAACAAGAAGAAGAAAAAGAGAAACAAAAACAAAAAGAAAGCGAATAAGATGAGCAAAGCTTTCCAAAATTTGAATTTTACAAAAAAACCCTTACCGTTTAATTCGTTCCTAATTTCTTGTAGCTGTCGCTGGAGCACGGAGCACTCTGTATTTACGCGATCACTTGATCCTCTATAAAACAGCATTACTTAGCTATATATCGACACAATTATCTAAAGAAATTGCGCGAAAACCAACTTTTGGGTGCTGAGTTGCTGGGCAAGCTCTTCTTTTTCAAGCTTGACTGCTTCGAGAGCCGTCTCGGCGTCTTTGAGTGACTTGTTCAGTTGCACCATCTGAAGAAAGAGAAAGCTCACAACACATAGTGTGCATATATGAATGCTTTCACTCACTCAGTGACGCGAACAAGAGTAAAGAAATTTGCAAGGTAAACATCTCAAGAATTTGAAAGACTCGTCTCGGAAGATAAAATATGGCGAAACAACGAGAAAGTGCCCACAGAACGGGTGCAACCATAGAAAAGAGTAACTGAGAAACCTACCATAATTGAAACACTAGGATAATGAGAAATGTGGTTGATTACCTTCTTTTCGTAGTCCTTAAGCTCAAGCGAGAAGACGTCCGTAGCAGTCTGCTGTTCCCGAAGGGCTGCGGCTTCTTGAACGGCATCGTCAAGCTGTGATCGAAGATGGTTATTTGTTTGGAGAACAGCAGCCAGGTCTTCTTCATGACGAAGACGCTGAACCATCAAAATGCAGTAGAAATATGTCCAAATAGAGATCCTAACTCCTTGGCAAATAGCCCATATCAGCACGGGTAAGAATGAATAGCCGAAAACTTCTAATCCACACGGTTTAATAGACCACTAGTAATGGCAGGATGTAGGAGTACATAAAGGGAGAAGTTGCAAGTTTTGGATGCTCAATAGCAGCTAGGCACAAGTTCTAAAATTCTGCTTCGCCGTGGTCCATACTCAAAGGGAACCATTACAATGGAGCCGTACAATATACTTCACTAGCCCTGGAGACGAAATTGAATAAAGGCACAAAATTTGAATCAACTGATACAGAGCGAAATGATGACATCAGGAGGGAAAGAAAGACGATAATTGGACAAACGTGATACTTAACGAAAATGAAGAAAGAGATATTGATATTGATATATGATATTGAGGGAACTAAGTGACTGCCATAGAGAGTGAGTAAGATTATGCAAAAAATACGCCTAGCGTGAGGTACATATCTAGAGTACTTTGTAAGGCCATATGCTATGGTCCCCCAAAGAGAGAGGGACGAAAATACCTTGATATTTTCCTTGTCTTCCTAAATCCAAAATCCCCTTTGAGGAACAGCCCATTTATAATGATGATGTGTGTATGCAAAAGCTAAGGTTTTAATGGGAAAAATATATAATCGAAAAAAGAAATTAAAAAAAGATTTTCCCTTCCCTAACCCTGGAAGGAGACAGCATATGACCTAGCTATATGTATCAAATCTACGACTTTGAGTCAGTAGACTCAACCCGAATAATAAGTAGTTTAGATTTTTTAAATCGTCAACTGTAAACAAACATATCGCGATATGCTTCGGCAGAACGAAATGGAAGAGGAAAACGCATAATGAGAGCAGAAGGTAAGATGAGTTAGTCGAATAGGAAGAGTAATGCTCTGCTTAGCAAGAATAAGCTTTTTCCAGCAACAGTAATTAATGTAGGGTGAGTATTTAAAAAAATTCAGCAAGATCAAACAGTGAACGGTGGCATCGAAAAGAAATAAGCACGGCAGTAAGGCTGCGGCCGCTGTGGCAAAGTATGACCGCAGCCCAATGCACAGTAAGAGAGAGCAAAAGAGGGATAGGAAATTAGCATAACCTTGATAAAAAAAAACTTATAAAATCACAGAAAATACCTCCTTTTTCAACACCGCAACATCATTAGTGAGCTGAGCGTTGAGTTCAAGAAGACGCTCCATATCAGCGCTAGATGTAGTGCCATTCTAAAACTCTGATTTCACTGCAGGATTCAAATTATTCACTTCTGAACACTTTAGGGAAACCAGATTGTTCACGCAACCCAGACTTCGTCATCTGCAAATCGAATCATTCTGGGTGCTACGAAATATCATACCACAATGGCCCTCCCTCTTACTGGAAGAACAGTTGACTGAAAAAAGCTTGAAATAGCCTCAACTGACCTCCACAGGCGTAGCATCCTGACATTCACTCCTTTCTTGTTCCGATGACTTAAGCTGGGTGTTTTCTGCGAGAAGTTCGCTTATGGTAGAATCTTTCTCTTCCTGCAAAAGATGCACTGAAACATGAATAGGAAAACAAAAAGAAAAACACGAGCTAAAGATGATAAATTGATAAAGCTATGAGACGTGATAATAGACAAGGCCTATTTTGAGAGCACTGTGATCCTAGCCAGTTTTTCAGACACGTTTGATATACGACAGTCAACAAAATAACCCAATCAAAAATACGGGTTATAAGTGGGTTGGAGGGACCATGCGGCGGCGCGGCATCTCAAGTGCGATGGCACAAAGTCTGACCTAGGAAGGAGGCTCACAAGTGCCAAAAGTTGGACTCACTCAAGCGAAATAATGAATCACACTATTTAAGACAACAGACTTCTTCTTAGGCTGAGGTTAGTGTCACCTCGTTTGAGAGACGCCGCAGCGCCGCGTGGTCCCCTCGACTCACCTAGGCCGAATTCTTAGTTATGATGTGGTACAAAAGACTGGCTAATTGGCACCATCACGAGTTTCACATGGTTTGGTTAAGATGTTCGAGCAAGTGTCACTTCTATCCAACATGCTTTGAAACTTTGTTAAGCCAAAAAAAAACTTCAAGATATGCATTTGTGAAACTTATTCATTAAACTCGAAAAGCCATTATGCACAAATCACAACAATGTACAAGAAATATAAAAGGATTACCAGGGAGTGCTTCAATTTCTTGATCTCCAATTTAGATAAGTTCACATGCTCCAGTTGGCGCTTCACGAAACGGATGAGATCCTCACGGCTTAGGGTATCCAACTGCAGTAGTAAGCTTTATGATTGAAAAACGAACAAGTAGTTACAGCACTGCAGCTCTGTACCTAATAATTAAGACATGAATAACTCATCAAACCTTCGACTTGGTCTGAGTGTTTTGACCATCGTTTTCTGATGTATTGGTAGCCATTTCGTGCGAAAGCACGATCAACGGCGAAACCCTGAAAAACGTCAATCAGACATAAAATACGCAAGATGAAGATGGCAAGACGCGTTTGAACTCGGGGCATCTAAGCGATTAACAATACATTTAATCGTAAGAAAAATCCACAGCAACTCGGCCAAGTTCGGTTATCTGACACAGCATAGAAATACTGAGGAAATCAACATGGACGAGCTTTCCGCAGTATTTCTAGCTGTCGAACGAATGGCCGATGTCAGACTTTGCGATTGGAGCGATTGTGCACAAATTACAGGAGCGACGGATCGCTTGAGCGATCCATCGCTCGGGCCTTGATAAGTGCCTTGGCCGTTGTGGCAGAGAGCTGCGAGTGCCGGGACATTTACGAGCTGGTGGCGCCGAATTATCGTTGGTCGGCCGTGTAAATCTCCCGTCGCTCGCAGCGATTTATCGGCGTCCAAGCGATCCGTCGCTCCTGTAATTTGTGCACAATCGCTCCAATCGCAAAGTCTGACATCGGCCAATCACCAGAAAATACTGCTCTCCAGAAATGACGCTTATATCTTTAACTGCGTGTGCAATGCTGTTAATTCTTAGAAAATGATTTCTTTTCTAACGTTCCACGGAATCGAATTAGTTGCCGCACATATTTATGCGGAATTCCAAGGCCTAAAAACTCAGACCTATTCGACCATTTGACATCACGTATTAATGGTGATTCTCACTATAACATGATAGTAAAGCTTGTGACAAAAGTAGCAAAGCAAGTTCTACATGTTCAGGAATGCCTTCGCAGCGTAGTTATAGCGGCTAAACTGTAACCATAAAAATAGGTCAACACTTATTGCATAGAAGCGAAATCTGGTTCTAGACAAAGATAAAAGCAAATTAAGTTGGTGTCAATCCAACCCGGATGTGCAAACGTGCTCCACCCTCACACGTGGATTTGCAGAAGGCGCACGGTTATTGCCCTTAAACGCAACGATTAGCCGTTGTTTTCTGGAGCGTCGGACTACGTTATGTCTAGTCGGTTGAAGATGCCCTAACTGTTGAGTAGATTCAGGCAGCTTAGAGTGAGCAAAACATGAGAAGCTCATTCCGTGAGAGTGGTAAACCGCGTCACATCTCTCTGGGCCGCGGTGGCACCAATTAAGTCTCTCTGAGCATTTTGAGATTTCACCTGAGAAACACACAAATTACACTGGAATCCGTCAAGGAGCTTCCTTAGAATCACGGTTACCTTAACAACTGGAGAAATGCGTGAATCAGTAACAGCATTATGGGATTTGCACCTGGCTAAGCACAACCCAGCTCTGTCATTACATGCCGATTCGCTTCGACCATGCGAAAATTCTATACGAACGATAGCAAAGTGATCTAATAAAGGGTGGGTCAGGTCACAAGAGCTGCGCAGTACCTAAAACCTCAACTTGGGCTTAGAATTGGTTTAGGTTAACACAATGACTTATGCTTTAGCATAGGGTTAGGCTCAGACTTAGTCATAACCCGCTACGAATAAATCAGAATGTCCTATCAGGGATAGTCGGAATAGACCGGGAGAATCCATATGCACCTATACTAAAGAGTCAATGCAGGGCTATGATGGGAAGACCAACAAGAAGTCGAAGAAGGCTTCGAGGCCTCGCAGAAGATGCTTTTGGGATCTTCCTGACTTTACTGCAGAATTTATATACAGGGGAGGCAAAAAAGAGTCACTTTGCCTATGGCGCACTTCATCAAATTTTCCTTCGCATAGAATGCCGCAGCTAATGAATGTTCTACGGCAGAATATTCCTTAGGTGTCCCCCCATAAGCAGAAGCAGCCCCTACCACAATGCCCTCACGGTCTTCAGAATATGACGTCATCTGCCGTCGCCGTCAAGCTCAACAGGGCTTACAGTAATCACTCCGGCCTGAAGCTGCTACGTGATTTCTTCGAATGATTAGATGGTGAATAACTTCTAGGAGAAACTAGCTGTTACTGTGCAAGACCGCTTTCAACCGGCGTACCAGGGACGTCGTAATGGTCTATGGTACCTCGACGACGTCGTTGAGCTCGTACCGTGAACCATGTTTCCGTGGGAAAATCTTCTGATGTCGTCTGTGTAGAAGGCTGTCATGTGGCCTTTTAATAGACTTGAATGTGCTCTTGGTGCTCTTAACTATGCAGTTGGGCTCATTTGATTTGGTTTCGAGATTAATTGCGTTTTGGATGTGGAGAGAATTGACTCTTTTTTTGCCCCCCCCCCTTAGGCACTAGTATACAAGTAGCGCGACATTATAGCCTTGTGGAGAGCTCGATACACCCAGTACTCCCCCTCTCAGTCCCCCTATGACTAAGCTTTAGGGGATCTAGGAAACAGGGTGTGTGAGCAGTGCTTGTTTTCTTCCACATTCATTATCGCATCCTAGGCTCATGGTGCATAGCGATGCCCCCCCCCTAAGTACTCTAGCGCTTTCAGTTCGAATCCTTTCGAATTCGCGTGTAAGTGCCAATGATGGCACGTGTGGGAGCACATCCTGACCAGATCACAGCATGTAGTGCTAGAATTAGCTGCTTTGTGAACAGAGAGTGGGAGGGGGAAGAGGTGTACGGAACTTTACGCTCGACCCTGCTCCCGATGTGTAGCTCATAGGCTACGAGGCGGTATCACTTTCTTGGTAAATATCATCACCAAGTCACCAGGTAATAGGTTCGTTTACATGCGCAGTCCCACCGTTCGGTACTGTAGCCAGTTGGAGAACGGGGTAATAGACTGTTCAACGATGACAAGTCGTTCTCAGATGCGCCACGCACTAGAGCTCATTCGGGATCTCATAAGTGGTTAGATGCATATTCAGCTCAAATTGCGGACGTGAAGATGTAGGTAGGTGCTCCAGTTGTCTAGTAGAGGCTTGGAGGCAACCAAACAATTCTGCAGCGACTGGAAAATTGGCTATCTCTTTAGCCATTCTTTCACTCTCCCCCTTTGAAATGAGGCTATGGATTTCACAAATGTGAAGGAGCCCCTGATCAACTCCAATTCTCCTTTCTTTGTGAGATAGTAAGACCTATTTTCTTGTCTATTCAGGAATTTTCTCCTTACTCCGTTAATCTTTATTGCTTTTAACACCCCATCACAGGGAAACTTTCTGCGGAATGTTGTTGCTATGCCTTTTCATTCGCATCAAGTTACATTGAATTTCTCTCGGGTACCATGAGCATGAGCACTAACCTAATGCCCTCTACGAACTGAGGCTCCCCCAGTCCAGTCTACATGAAACCGGTAACGAAGACACTTTTTCTTTTTCCTTTGTTAAGTATTATTCTCATTGTGTGGAGACAGCACAGTGGTAGAAGCGCTGCGTCAGTCCTCGGTAATCCGTACTCTCCCATCAGGATCAACGTCCGTTGATAAGTTACCAACAAGGGGACGTGTTTGAGGTTTTTTTTAGGAGATACCAGTTGTGGAAAAAGTGGGACGGAAAGAATGCTTGGGAGACAAAAGAACAATGTGGAAACTGCCGTTTCATAAAAATGTGTGAAATGTCTGGAATTGAGGTTCCGTTCCAGCAGTTGTGTTTAAACTCACTCTCGCTTCACGCCTCGCTCGACGGCAGATTAGGAACTTTGCATTTTGGATTCGATGTGACGTATGAAACCAGAATCAAGAATAACTGCAGAAATGGTGGTCGTGGGGGAATCGCATACGACTCTCCAGGAAACTATCTCCTTCAATTTTCTACTTATGTCATGGTTTACCCTGCTCACAAGCTCTCCATTGCCTTCCTGAAAGGGTAAAGACAATAACTTGAATATCGGTTCACAACTCACGTCTTTTGTTTGGGAGGTGATGTGTAGGCGCACAAATTAGGTGATAGTGAGGATGAGCTAGAGCTAGCACGAAGTGTTTCAAAACATGCCATCGCTCGTCGTCGCGATGGCGACAAACTTTTTCACGATTCTACCGTTTTCGTCGGGTACCCGACAGAACGCCTATGCGAGAAGGCGGAGACGCAGAGGAATCAGCGGACGAGTTGCAGCGGAATCTTTGCTATATGGGACGCACTATCGCACATTATGTTTAAAGGCGGGTTCAAAGGGTATCACCATATAAGAAAGTATTCCATAAGAATTAAGGTACCGGAATAAAGGAAAAAAACATAAAAAGCCCAAATTTCAGAAACGGGACCCCTTCCTTGTCCGTTGATTACCGCATTGATGCGAGTCTCATCGATGTTACTCTTCAGCGCTAAGGTTCTCTCTGCTAAATAGCTCGAGAACTGCGGGAAGTGGTTTGCCAGTCGTTGGGCGTGGCGCACCGATAGCGTTGTAGGAACGACTGCTAGATTGCAGAAGGCGTATCCTATGCTGTGAATTGCGTGTCGGTCCACACTTTCAGGCGGTCCGCCTGCCTTTCCTCTGCGTATGTTCTACCATCTTCGACCTAACTCCGAGCTTATCGTGAAATTCTCGTTCAACTTAACGCTAAATCGCTACAACACGCGCGTTGGCTCGTCCGCTGACTCCTCTGTGTCTGTGCCTTCTCGCTACCTCCTGTAAGGTACCCGTTTCTGACGAATAGCGTCGCTCAACTTGGGCAGGTGAGAAGCGTACACCTGAGCGGTCATGGTGATCGGAAAAAAGCAGTACAAAATTTAATACTCCTTGAGCTTTCCCTTCTACGCCATCTGTATGCTAGACACTAAAAATTAATACGGCTTTCACATCCATAGGCAGCCTTTGAAAGCAGTAGCACAATGTACATAATATTTATTCCAATAAAGAATATTATCGAGATCACTGAATGTACAATGGAATGCTTGTCGAATGACCAAATATCGAAGCAGTTATACTCAGCTATTCATGATTAAATTTGAATATTAAAATTTGTCGGAACAAAACCAGTTCCTAGCACTAACCGCATATATACCGCATTTATATAAAGCTTCTATAATGATTTCAAAAAAAAATTAAAATTGCACATGGAATAATACGAATATCACTTGATTATTCTGCAATATTATTTGACACAATTTCAAAACTAATAAGCCGTAGTAATCGATCGAAGAAATTCCAACGCTTCTTTGTCTTCTTTTCTGCTCGTCAATACATCAATTATTTCTTTATCTGTAAAAAGATTTCCTTAAAAATTGGAGATAATTTTAAAAATAAGACGAAAAACTGGAACTTACTATTCTGGACAGGCTGTATAAGAATGAGATTGAACTGTCGAAGAGTATTGCCGCCGGCCACTCCAAAGCCAGGGACCTGTGATGAAAATTATATCGGAAGTCAAATACACTGCTCTGCATAATTACACAGCTAGCTAATTTTGCAACAAGTGAGGTCAGTTTTTTGCCTGAAACTTCTGACGCCTTGTCTGCCTTTCTTGAAACATTTTGTTTCCCTCAATGAAATTTTCTTATTGTGGAGCGTACTGCGAAGATAAAGAACTTCGAAATAAAGGCATACGGGGCGTCAGAAATTACAGACAAAAAACTTACCTCGTTCTAATTGGCTCGGCACTACTTCTTGACGAAACTATCTCGGTTTTTGAGAAGATTTGTTGTCATAAACAATGAGTGTTACATTTCCCACTCGTGGATGAACTTGCAGTTCTGTCACTCGTGCCGAACAGACACCTGTTGGGGAATTAAGTTTCAAATAAGGTTTGAATTCCGAGCACATCTTGACGGAATTGCTTGATTTTCTTCTGAAGCGGCGTTTTTCAACTGCTTCGCAACTCCCTCACGATTTTTGCTAATATTTGCCTTTGTTTAAATTCTGGTGACAAAGTCCCTCTTGTTTTCACCCAAAGAAGAAGTGGCTATAACAATAAAAAAAGTTTGATCGAGCAGGAAAGAAAAGCCAGAGGAAAATATGGTGTGGCTGTATAAATTTGCGGAATAGGCCACAGAGGCTTTTTCGAAAAATTGCAGAAAAACTTCTTTACAAATTTCGAAGCTGGAACTTTGAGTTTGTGTGCAAACAGCATTTATATCTACAACCTTGTCCATACGGAGTCTTCGTCAAAAACTTCTCGAGACGAGAGTTGTTGCAAAATTGAAGGTGGTTGCATAATTATGCGGAACTGTGTGGTAGCTAGGGTTTCGATTCCCATCCACTGACACGAATAACTGCCCCAGTGAATCCAAAGTCGGTTATCGTAGGGGTTGAAATGGGGAGAAGGGGGGGGGGTGGAGAGATTTGATAACTGTCAACTTCAAAAAATGTGCAGTAAACGCTTGTCGGCATCAGTCACAATCACATGCAGATTTCACATCACAACCGATGAAGTCGCTATCTCGCCTATACGTTGATTCTCAGGGTACACTCGTCCTCTGCCAAAAATAAGACACCATAAGGTTTCCCATTCAAAGTTTACTGCGTTTCCATGCTCTTTCTTTCACTGAGGGACCTGATCCCTCAGTCCTATTTAGGTAGAAGTTCCACGATAAGGTCGGGTAAAACTTACCTAGTGGGGAAACGGGCGAACCATCAATGGGGCAGACCGACACTCAATTTGCAGCGGAGTATATGCCCTCGGCGTTCTAGCATGGCCGTCCGCGCCGCATTCGACACGGCACACCTACCGCTGGCTGGTCACTTGCGGGAGGTTGCATCCATTCAGCGGAGAGATTATTAGCGTTGATTAGGGCAGCACCGATGAGAGTCACATCAAGGAGGGAATCAATGGGCAAGGAAGGGGTTCCACTTCTCTGGTTCTGGGCCATTTCTCATGGTATTTCTTCATTTACCACTGACTACCTATGGCTTGATTTAGGCCGATGTCAGACTTTGCGAATCGCACGATTCGCAAAGTCTGACATCGGCCTCATAATGGGCTACCATCTAATCATAAACTCCGCCATCAACACATTCTGGCTACACATTATTGGAAATTGCCTCAAATGGTTGAAAATCACAACTTTCACCTAAAGTGACATATTTTTTATGTTGAGATTGAAACTGTTTCGTTTTTCTCTACGATACTTAATCGATGATGAGTGGCACGCAGCTTAGACAACAGAACGACAAGAGATAAAACTCACGTCAGCTAGCTCCAGAAATGCTTCTCCAGCGAAATCGTTGGATCGCAAATAATCGTGGTCCATGACAGTGAAATGTAGCATAGCACATGGTGGCAGCTTTGGCGGAATGTGGCTGAAATTGTCATGACTTTTCAGTGAACTCGAATTCCTAGTTGAGGCTGTTTTTAATCGGGCTGTAAATTATAGGGCTCCAAATCAGACTCATCGGTTGGTGTCGCATACCCAATAAGAACCATGAAAACTCTCACGCCTTGCGTGGTAGGTCCACTTCGGCTATTGTATAGTTAGATCTCATAAACTTCATAAATTAAGCCGTTTGAAGAAATAGGTAATCTCCATGGCGAGTCTCGGGCGGGTGGGGAGGGCGGGTCGAGTTCGGGTTGTTTCACGTTCCTCCTGGGGAAGGGAACAGTCGATTTGTCCACTGGTTGGATGAATGTCATAGACAGCGCTGGCGATCATATGGTTTCATGAGTGAGAGTTCAAATAAAATTGTAAAAAAATTAGAATTTCCCGAGCGTCTCTTGCATGAGCCTAACACTTGGAAGTAGACCGGTCGATGGAACCAGTTGGATATTCAACAAAAATAAGTGAAAAAATAAAGGTAAAATATAAACAAAGCAAAAAATAAATTCTAAATTCTTACAATTCGAAGGTCTCGTCGAAAATCGGGTTCAGAGTTTTGCTAACGACTCGCGTTTTACTGACGGCTTGTGTCGGATAGCGGTATTTGGGGACTAGCCGAATAACCACGAATGGATCCGAAAGTCCGTTGGCATCCAACGGAATCACCTGTTTTGCACCGATCACTGAAATTTACAATGTGAAATACCTGTTAATTATTATTACTGTTCAATTACTAGTTTAATTGCATACCATCCAGTACAAGTGTTTGTGAATTCGCATTATAATAAGCCCGCACATTAAGTATGCCGTATTTGCACTCGCTTACTTCGTTCTGAAATAATAATATAATTTTCGCAAATTGTACCATATTTTTTCTAGTCGATTTTTGCACACTATAGCCACGGGAAACGTGCACTCTACTGCAGGCTAGCTACAGCTTTTGCTGTTTTGTACACGCCATTTTTGGCTTACAAGTTCTAGTTGGGACTGAGATGACTGAACCTTGTTATAATCATTCATGCGAAAGGTCTAGGTACATAGGGAAAATGAATGCATACGTAAAAGGGATATCAAGCAGAGAATGACAATTTTAGGGTTGAGGAGGAGCTTTGTACGGCATTCCATGAGGTTCGCATAGGGCTATTCAATCATTTATTGTCCTAATTGTATACGACCTAATAGAAGAGCACTCTTCCCAGATGGTTCCCACAATAATTATTACTTTTCTAGAATTATTCACAAAAGCTTCTGCACCGTTATAGCGATCGCCCGTATATGAGTTTCAACCATGGCACAAAAAAGGAAGGACAGGCATGGTTGACCCTCATATCCGTGAAAACAGTCAACATGTGTGAAGTTTAGAATCCAGGGTGAAGGTTACATTGGAAACCAGTTGATAATAGTGGAGCAACAGGTTCATATAATCGTGAACGGGAAGCTGATTGGACCCAAGGCTGCCCTAGCTGCAGCACTCAACTGTGATTGGCTGAAGGACAGCCCAACAAGTGTCAACCAATCACAGGTTAGCACGTTCTACAGTAGCGGCAGTAGCGAAAGGTGTTCGTACAGAATTCCCACTTCTGCTTTTGCTGTAGCTGTGGCACCTTTTCGAGCGCGTGGTTCAGTGACCGCTAAAGGAATTTTTCTATCCATGATTCGTAGGAAAACCATCGAATGTTAAGAAAAGGAAGTGGACTCCATCTTCTCATTCGAGTAACCAAGCGACTAGTGATAACTTTTCCACGTGCCGAAATGTCAACATCCTAGGGTCCATAAGAGGAAGGTAGAGGACACGCTTCACAGTGTATCACAGGGAATATAGTTCACGTTTAACACAGTACTGAACGACAAAAGGAGACTGGAGCTGAGCTGCTATCGTCTGTCTGAGAATTCATTTTCTATAATAAATTCACCCATCGCTTCTATTCATAGATGTGTGTCAGAAGGTCACTGTTTGCAGAGGCGCGATGGAATCAAATCCATGAATTCACTTCCTCGATCGATAAATGGTCGCCCACCATAGATGCCCAATTTTGTATCCGCCACGCTGGTAGCCGTGCTATTTCTTCCTCATCACGTAATCCAAATGGGGGAAGGGGAACTGTTTTATAAAGACAGCGAGTACGATGGGTACCAGACGGGAGACCCGTCACGCGTCGAGAAGGCAGAGACGCAGACGGATCAGCGAACGAGCCTACTGCAGTGTATCGCGCCAAGTTAAATAGAATGTTCTGTAATACGCCCATGTCACACATGCGCCGCGACCAGGGTCAAGCGTGCGTTGAGGAATCCTCAACAGGTCACAGGGGGGGGGGTCGTATTGGCCCGCGGGAGGAAGAGATCGGGCCAGATTGACCGCAGTAGGATCACCGTAGATCGGAGGACAAACATAAAGGATCGAGTCGATGTAAGGCCGGAGTATTTGCAATAACAATTGATTCCGCCCACACAAAATCTTCGTTATTCAGAGGTATCCGCTTTAGAATTTTTAGTTACTTCAGGGTTTTATCACCACACAAGTTGAAGAGTCCGGATTTCGCTTGTTTCCCGAGGGATATTTTATCTTTCGAGTGAGTCCTCAAACCCGCAAACCCGAAGGGATGTTAAGCACACGGCGCATCCCAGAGTGGGACCAGTTGGTTGCGCGCGCTTCAACCACAGCTCTCTGGCGAAAGAATCTCATTTCAGCAGAAATCAAGAGGATTCTGAAAGTGTTCATGTGAAATTACAGTGAGGAGTACACTATTCAACAAGAAACGCAGCCTTCAGCGTCAAATTCCCAAGCATGTAACCTTTAAAGTTTCGACCCGCTAAACACTTTTAGACTTTTCAAGCACGAGGATTTCGAATCTGCTCCTACTTTAGTGTGTAATCGCCCCTGAAAGGAGCTATTGTCGTTGGAATAGTGCTGATGCAGCGAAAAAGTACTTTTTGGCGGCACTCGGGCAAAAATCCTCAACGTGGCCATTTTTTACATAGTGAACGAATTTAGCAATTTTAGTAACCATTGGAAAGAGCAAATCTTCTAGTTTTGTATGACGTATTAAGTTTTCAGATTGGATGATTTTCCTCGTTAAATTTGCAAAAATCCTCAACGTGGCCATTTTTTACAAAGTGAACGAATTTAGCAGTTTTAGTAACCATTGGAAAGAGCAAATCTTCTAGTTTTGCTGACTTATTAAATTTTCGGATTTGAGAAATTAAGCAAAGTAGCGGTTTCGAAAATGTAATAACTCGCGGCCTGTCATGAATTTTCCGTAATTGACCTAATTTGTATTGCTTATTAAAATGCTGGATTTCAAGGCTGTTATATAAGGGCTGTTCAAACTACCAAGATCTGCTTTTCAGATTGAAAATTCGTCGATTTAGTTGAAGGAAACTTTATACATTGAATGTTTGATTCACATCGAATAGTGATAAGCTTCTCCAGTTCAACGCCAAGGATCAGTCAGCAACAAGCTGCTAAGGCGGTTGGAAACTTCTCTCAATGAGGGGACGTCGCAATTGAGAACCATACTTCTGTGTAGCATTAAAATTTGGTAAGTCTTGCGAAAAAAGAAGTTATGTTGTCCAATATGCGATTTTTAGTGGCTAGTTATGCCATTTTTGCTCCTTTTCGCGTTTGCTCGTTTGGTAGGACTCATCAATATATGATCACTCTTTGACTTTTACACTTTTTACTTCTTAAACGAATTTTTGATGACGGTGGGGTAGCAGGGCTTTTTAATGAACAGTTTTGGTGGAGAATTAAACAGCCTTTTCATAGTTCGTCTTTTGAAGAAGGTTGTTTCATAGACTTCAGTCTCTGGCGGAGGGAGGAGGGGGGGGGGTCGTATTTCCAAATTTTCCTCGACGCCTCGCTTGACCCTGGCCGCGACTTCTCCGCTGACCCATCTGCGTCTCTGCCTTCTCGCCGCGTGACGGGTCTCCCGTCTGGTGCCCATCGTACTCGCTGTCTTTATAAAACTTGGGTTCTCGCCTTGGAACGGCCTCCCTGTTGAACACTCGAGTACGATAAATTAAATGTGCTACCTACGAGTGGTGATGCGTTGAGGACGTTTGTGATGCTACTATCATTATCGTACGAATTTGATTCGAAACTGCATTTTACTCCAAGCACCCGTACCCTTTGATCCTGTCGTGTCGTATCTTCTGGCGAAATGTCTTTGCCCTGACGGCCTTCATCTGAGCCGCAAACTCATTCACAATCCAAAAGGTAGGTAAATCTAAAAGGGTTTCATGCGTTCGTTTGACAGTTTCTTGTGGATTTATCTTGACCAAACATTCTACTTCGGTTTTTGGTAGACATCGAATGACGTGAACCGTGCCTTTAAGGAAATCTCAACCACAAATTGCGTGTCTTATGCACGGAGTGTCCATTCCATCGGTACAAGTTACCAAATGCGCCCGAAACACTACAGTTGTCCGCGTTGGCGCCCCGTACTTGTCCCTCATATAGGGGTTACCTTCGCAATGAATGAGCTGTTCAAACAAGTAATTTGGCATTGTAATGTAACATGCTGACTGTTTTTCAACGCGATTGCAATTAGCGGTGCACTACTGAGTTTTAGAGACATCTACTTATGAGAAGGCCAACTCACGTTCGCGTTGTGCTCGGCCAAAGCCTAAAACGAGACAGGAGACGATAAAATGAAAGCAATAAAATTTGAGCTAACTAACTTGTTGTTTGAGCAGATCCTTATAGTACTTCTCAATAAGTTGCTGCGTTGGTGTTTGATTTAATGATAGCAGTTTAACCAGGGCCTTCAAAGGAAAACATTTCAGAATCAATAATGTCAAGGTGAGTAGCGATAGGTAAAGGGACTGACCACATGCTGGGGACAGGTCTCCAATACCTCCATTGAAAGGCCTTTACCACCTGCATGGAAAAAGTCGACGAGTACATGCCACGCTTCGAATAGACGATGGTAAAAGGCTGGCTCCATCTGTGAAAAAAAAAACTCGCTTTCCACTTTCCCTTTGGACTGACAGAAATTAGGAGAACCAGAACGTTCAAGACTTTCCAGAACTCACCCCAGGATTTTCGTCTACACATTCTTTCAAGAGATGCACGACGATCCCAACTTGGGCTGACATAACTCGCAAAAAGTTCTTGTGTAACAGATTTTTATGTACAGCTGAGAGTTCGATGTCAATCTGAAATTGCTAACCTGAAACCTCTGGAAATGAAGCACTGCACTTGAACGGCAGGTGGCATGCATGTTGGAGAAAGGTGAATGTGAATGTTATTAAGAAAATCTTACGCTCCAAAGGAGCGGAACGTGGCATTCCGGCGGTAAAGGGCGCGCCCAAACGGGCTGGCAAGGCCTTTCCCGTCCTTTTCGACGCTCTAACTGCTGGTCCCTCGCCGTTGGAGTCTAGCCATCCGGGTAGGGATGCAGACCAGAGCGTTCACACTGGTAACGCCAGCAGTGATGAGACCCGAACAAACGCGGAAATCAACAGGAAGGACAAGGGTCCCGCAGGTTTTAGGCAATGCCTTTAATTTCCTATCCACCACAGCTCCCTTACGATCCATACCTTTCATTTGCATCTGGGCCGACTTATTGTGGTATCTGCTTTTAAGTCAGAATGTGAAACGATTCCCACTACGCTGCAACGGACCCGGACCCGAAGTCCGAACTCAAACTGATCAAATTTTCACAAATTTTCCTTCAAAATTCGCATAAGCTTTCTACTGTAAAGTAGTGACAACCTAATACTTTTGAACATGAACAGCGAACTAATGTTCCTAATAAGCAGGGCAGCCTCGTCAGTTGCTGGGAGGACCCGGTATTTCGACCAAGTCGGAGGGTTGGTGAAATATACTTTGCCAGCCAAGTGCGCGCCCTGCAAATGCTAGGATTCCCATTCCTCAATGCTATGAGAAAATTTATGCTGGGTTTGGTTACTAGCTCATAACCGAGAAAGCCGACAGACTAAACATATGCGAATTCACTATCAATGATTAATTTGAACGCAAATTATTATTATCCGAAAACATACCATATCAGTTAGCGGTTTTAACGAATCCTCAACCGGATGTGCCGTTGGACTCCACGCTAGATGGAACACATGTTTCTTCATTTGAGGTTTTAACCGTGATGTCAGCAAACCAACAACTCGGTCGATTTCGGCACAGATCGTCGCATCGGTTTGCTCCAGACGCTGTTCTACCGCAGTCTTCCATGTGGGAGCTCCCTTAAATAGATATAGTGGAAGGAAACTCCAAACTCTGAAATGGAATTTGAAACGAACTTTGTTTTGAAGCTTGGTGTAAAGGATACTGTGGCTAAGAAATATTCCCGGGGCTAAATTCTTCTTAATCCTTCTTCTTTTTGCGACTGGCGCTGAAATTGATTGGACACCCTTACTTCTAGTACTGTTACCCAACTGTTATATAGGTTTATCCTGAGATAGCCAAGAATACTAGTCACTCTAGGTAGAAGATGTGGGCTAGTAGATACGAACTGTCACAGTGTGATGATTGCGGCATCGGAAGTGGCACGAGTGCGGTCAAGGACCAGGAGCAAGCGTCCGTTGGTCGCCCAAAGGGAGAGATCGTGCTAGTGTGAAGGAAGGGATGGGGTTGTTATGCGCAGGAGTCAATTTTGGCCGGAACCAGCCGCTCATCAAGTTCATAAGGTAAGGTTGTTGAGAATGCTTCCGCAATTCATAAACACAGACAAGGGCATGGCGCACCTCAAGGCAGGAGAATGTACTGCAAAACGATCCCATATCCATGTGTACGCACGCGGTAATTGTTTTATATGGAACCGGATGTTATCAAACCGAAGTTAAATAACTGAAAGGGTATCTACTTAAGCAGATCGATCCTAAAGGCTCAAAAAAAAACGTTGGGAAGGAAAAACCTCTGAATCGGTGATTTTTCAAAAGGATTAAATTCCTGTATGAAATATGACAATTGTAGTTTGTTACAGCGTTCACCCTTCGTTACAAGATCACATTTGAAGCGAGTACCATAATGACCATATGAATGTTGAAAACTCGCGTTCCAGGAAATTGCCCAAAAAAATCATGGAGAAGAAAAGCGTGACAACGGGGTTATTTTTGAACCCATGTTGAAATTAGGTTAAGCATCAGGTAAAAACTCCGTCCGATCTTCTAGTTTCCATAATTGTTGACGAATTACACAAAGTTGAATTCTCAGAAATTGGAGATCGTACCATGCTGCCAAGTGGGTACATGCGCTGCTCTTACACACCACTTCATAATTCTCGAAGCAGGATTTTTTCCCCTCTGGCAACCCGGACTCAGCCTTTAGAAAACCCTCCACACTGAAGGAGAAGCTTGATTGGCTGAAAACTTTCCTCTATAGAACTGCGTACCCGGGGCAGGGTCGGTCCTATCGTTGGTACTTTTTCCAAAATTTTTACGATCCCCCTCCTTCATGACAGCTTTCGTACGACCCCTTCGTCACAACCTATTTTCCCTCGAAAAACACGTATATGGCTACCACAAAACCGGCAAAAAACTCTTCTATTTCCCTTCATTTTCCCTCTATCTCACCTGTTTTTACCGATATTTCCACCACAACATTTTCTAGTTGGGGGATATATACGCACGCTGAAACGGCAAATTTTCTCCCGCGCGCTCTCACATCATTATATGTAATTTCGTGCTACCAAAACATGTACGACCCCCTCCCCCACCACAAACTTCAACAAACTACGACTACCCCGTTGGTACTTGGACCAACTTAGGGTTGACCCTGCCCCGGGGGCTTCAACGTAATGAACGCCAGGCTATGCAACACTCTAAGGTGTTGTATACATAAAATGCAATTCTTTGTCAATGCCCCAATTAATTTTCAAAATAGTGGTTCCACTATTCAAGCCAGCACAAAGTATGATTCCCTGTCGATTGATTTCACTTAATGCCAAGAGAAACCTCAACTAACTATGAGTTCATAGAGACGCCTTTGCTCACTTAAATGACAACTAATCATTGACAATGTAAACTGACATGCCCAGCTCTTTCGTAAGTAATAGCCAAATCGTCCAGATGGAGCTTCTCGTGAATCATCAGACTTCGCCTCACTTGCTCGCAGTTGTTGATTGCCGAACATAGCTAAATATTTTACAAGTTGTACTTAAGGTTCGGATCAAATAACTTCTCTGGAATTCTAGGCCCAATTGAGAGAATATACAGAAATTATAAGGGCAGGAGTACAAGAAAAGTGCATGAGAAAAAAGAGGTGGACTCACTAATTGCAGCAATGGAGATGGAACAAACACTTGCAGTTCTCCTGAGAACCCTTCAGCGTCGAGATTTGAAAAGATCTAAAGGTTCCGAATGAAGAGTTCGGCTTCAACGTTGTCAAAAGAAAACTCACTTTTTTGGTGTAAGTGATCACTATGTCACAGAGAATGTCGACAAAATCTCTAGTGTAGTCGATCCTCAGGGTAAGCTCGCTGACGTCGATACGATCCCAACAGACCGTCATCTGTAAAAGTTCGTTTACAGTGAGATAACGACATTCCAAGTTATCAGTAGCAAGCAAGAGCTCGAGTCCGGCCTGGATGAAGACTCTCCGCAATCTGTGGGATAGGGGCACTTTCATGGATTTATTATTGTATCATACGGAAGGAAAACGAATTCGGACTCGGAACAAAACCTGAGGATTTAAACCATGGGGTGGCGCTAAACAGCCTTCTAAAATGCGCTACACTTTCAGCTTCACCTCGAGATCGTTGTGGTGTTATCGGTCATACCAGTCCGATTTGGCCTATACGTATAAGGAGGGCACATTCTGAATGGTAGCACCTCCCTCCACGTTACCTTCGCCAAAAACTGAGGAAGAACCTTGATTCAAGAAATCTAATCGTTCTGCCATAAAAAACTCTACTTCTCGACTGCATAGGAAGCTAAATGCATATCAGTGGTTTGGAAGAGGCCAATGCTAGCAGTGAAAGAGGATTCCAGGTCGCCGTGGTCATTCAGGGAGAGATGTTCGTTTCTGCATACACCTAGAAACATTGATCTGTGGCTTTCAAAACTAATTAGTGAAGGTTTTTTCGCCACGCTGTTGTGTTTAGAAGACGATCAAGCGTCAATGAGTCGGAGAGCAATGGCGCAGCAGGTGGCGGACCGTACTCATAGGCATGTGTATTTGGAATCGGAGCCTCGGAAGTTCGTACTTTCGGATTTAGAACAAAATGCTCATGAAGAATACTACCCTTACTTCAATGATTGTCTACGGAAGAGGGGGCATAACAAAGTCTTCACATGGCACACAAACAAGGGAGACGGTCAAGAGTCCCCCTCGACCGCCGCGCTAATTCTAGGTCACCGCGCGCGACGTCGTACTACAATTTGAAGCATGGCAATTGACAAGTTTAGGATCCGCCTCTCTAGACGATCGCAACAACTTTAATTTCTACAATTTTTAATTTTTTGTCCCGTGTCGGTAGTCCCCATTTCTGCATTTGTTTTAGCTTAGTCCTGACAAATTGCCACGTTCCAATTTGTAAAGGCCGGTAACCGCCGCGTGTGGTGACCTAGTTTCGCTTGCGCAGCGACCTCAGGGAGACTCTTGTCTCGCATAGCACAAACAACTGTCGTGCAGAGTGCCGCAGTTGATGAACTTACGGTCAATTATTCCTTAGAGATATCCCTCCCCCCACAAGCACTAGGAGGCCTTACTTCACTACCTTCACCTTCCTAGGAATATGACGTCATCTGCCATCACCGTTAAGTTCAAAGAAACCCACCATAATCGCTCCAGCCTGAAGCTGCCACATAAAGTTTCTCTGATCCTTAACTGATGGATAGCTTTCTACTAGAGACAGTAGCTCTGACTATGCGAGCCCCCCCCCACTCCCCCCCCCCTCTCCCCTCAGCTCTTTGGAAAGCGCGGTAGTAATCACGATCCATCTAAGACCTCGTTAAATTCGGACCGTGAACCATGTTCCCAAAACAAAAACTTCTAAAGTCATCGGTGTAGAAGGCTGTAAGGAGTTTACTCATGGAATGAATGTGCCCTTCAGTATTCAATTGAGTGCTTCGGTATGAGTCTAGCGAAGCGTAATCATTCCATTCTACAATGGTTAAGAGTGGCTTTTCATTGGGACCACAATGATTCGAATTCGCTTGGCTGATGTGTTTCTAAAGTGCTGAAAAGCAAGGAATACAAAGCTGCTCAGGAATCTGGGATCTCTGCTGCTCTTTGAAGAAGATCGGAAGTGAGCGATTAATATCGTTTCTATTGACAGTGAATTGTTCTTTACAGGGACCCGAACTCATCACTTGTTCGGCAGTTGTTCGGTAGATTCGGAATTTTCGCGTCTCCAGTTACCCCTATTTCGTAAAACGAGAAGAGCGTCAAGTGCAGACCACACACTACAAGTGACGGGCGGGACAAGAAAAAAGAAATAAGAAAAACCACATTTTTCTTGGCAGTCGTCACCTGTGGGCGTGTGGCCCGTACTTGATGCTATGTATCCTATTAGTGCATAAAAGAGGTACTTATGGATAAATGAGAGATGTTCCAGACCTGTTCGACGATGTGGCAAACGTCTATATGACTGCTTGAATGTCGCATATCATTGGACGAAGTACAGATCTAAATTTAATTCAATTTTCTGAAGCAGTAGCTGTGCCGGAAACAGCATAATAGGCATAACTGAAGCATTCTGCAGAGATCATCAGCCAAGCTGTAGACTGTAAATTTCTGCAAATTTGAAAAAAAATCCCAGTCAACAGCTTTTCAGCATGCACAGCACACTTTTAGCACCACAGACTATTTTACATAAGGTGTTCAAAATTTCCAACAGCAGGCCGGTAAATTTGAAGCAACAACCCCAAATGAAAGTGACGCGGTATCAGCGGTCAATAATGAAAGGATGCTGTGTTGACCGAGAACGAAAAAAGGAACAAAGCAACCGCCAGTAATCTTCTTCAACAAAGAGCCCCTTCCCCATTGAAATGAAAAAGGGGCGTTCCGGACGAATTGTCTGAACTTGCTTGCTCCATAGCTCCACTAACCTCCGCATATTTCAATTAGCCGCAGCGTCGTAATCCGCCTCATTGTTATGGGGTGTGGGTACTCGTGCTCCACCTCACAGTAGCTGTCATTGGCTCACTTTGTAAGGACCTAGCGCCGCTGTCGCGCACTTTCGAGCCGCGACAACGGCACAATTGTGATGCTCGCAGCTATTCTATACTAACCACAGCGAACTGGTTTGACACGACCTCTTATAGAGTTGTTACTTCCAAAGAATTTTCCCACAGTACAACTGAACCATTCTACCGAAATTGCTGAAGCAACGCCTGCGTTTACCGGTACATCCAATTGACAGCTGAGAGAAATTCGTGCCAGTGCTTTCTCCTTCGCAAGTTCCAGGAAGTTCTTAATGCCTCGATTGAATATACCGTACCATTCGGATTCGTCTTTACCCCGTCTGAAATTGCTAGTGATCTGTTAATGGAAAAATTAGACATTAGACAAAGACCTAAGAACGTTGTGGATGTGAAAAAAGTTTCTAAGAGCCTCACACTCGATTGGCTAGTCGATAATTCCGCAATTCCACAAATGCCATGTGTATGCGTATCAAATCCACTAGATCATCTTCATTCGGCGGATCTTGATTGGCCGAAATTTTCATCTGAAATTTTTAACTAACATGAAATGTTTGTTTACCATTCAGTTGTCCTATTATATCATGAAGACCACCAACAGAGTTTTTCGGAATAGGTAAATTACAATGAGCGCACAGGTAAATATACGGCCAGACTCAGGCGAAACTTGTGGAGTTATATAGGAGTGGAGTGTAACGTCTTTGCGGGGAACTTGTTGGAGTGCATTGCCATGTAGGGACCATGGCGAACGGTCATCGTCAATTTGGTCAATTTGTGGAGACTGGGGTGTTGAGGAAAGCAGCATACTAGTAGAGTGGCACTTTTCTTCATCAGGAATAGAGGGATGAATCAATGCAAATAAAATCTCTTTTGAAATGCACTGTATAATTAAATTGCGTTTTTTCCCCTCGAACAGAAGCAGCTCTATACGACGATAATGCAAAAAAAATCGCTGCTGATATTGGTGAAGGTTGGCAGGAGGAAGAAGTGCGGAGAATTTTCACGAAAATTAGTCGTAATCCCAATGTATGAAGTAAGAGAAGGCTGTGGGGTAATTCAGCCAATTTTCTTGAGCAAAAATGACCTGAATGAGTGTTACTTGTTCTCAATTTTTAAAGGAATTTTGCGCGGAAAATTCTTGCACTCTTTCCTAACATGAATATGCCAGTTGTGATCATTGGAAATAGCACACAAAGTTTCACGCATGAAGATTCGTTGAGAACAAACGTACAAAAACTACACGTTATGGACCATCGAAGGACCAGGAGGCAGAGCCAGGCAGGCATGGAAAGAAGACGGCGTTTGGCCGGCTACGTACCAGGCGACGCAATGAGAGAATCGGGTTAAAGCGCGATTTCGGAGAGTGGAGACAAATTGATCGATGGAATAGGATGGAATAGAAGATGTGAATGCAATGAAGCAGAAGGCCAGAAAGAGCTTCTAGTGAACGCACTCTAAGAACCAATTTTGAGCATCCCCGTCGCCAGCTTTCGTGAAAGACGTCCGTGGGCAATTCGAACGCGTGGCAGCCTTTTCGAGTTGTCGAATTTCTAATCAAAACGAAAGCAATACCTCAGTTCTTTTCATTATTATCGTGGATAATGAGACTGAAGCCAGTGATCATGGCTAAAATAGAATCATGATTTTTCCGCGCAAGATTCCTTTAAATGAAAAGACTGCTTGCATTGGTTTCACGAGCGCTCTGCCTCGAACGGCTCGCTACTCAACTGTAGTTGCGAGGGAATTCTCCAAAAAAATTTAGTTTTATTCAACTTTGATGTATTGTAAAGTACTCATTCATGTTTCACAGCACTGTGCATGGACTAGCAGTTTCAGCTTAAAAATGGATTGGTCTGTGATGCAAAGAAGAAGGCAAGAACGGAAAAATGGGACCCCTTCTTTCCGTTAATTTGCGCGCTGGGCGATTCTCATCGGTGCTGACATCACCTAACGCTATCTCTGCTAGAGCGGCTGGACTCAGACGGCGACGGGTAACCAATCGGTAGACGTGAAGTGGCAAGAGCGGCGCGGGTACGGCCCTGCTGGGCCGCAGGGGCATACATCCGCTGCGTAACACGCACAGTCCCACACCCTTAGAGGTCCGCCTGCTCTTCGACTGGGTGAATTTTCCCTTCTTCGACCTCCGAGCTTATCATGAAATGTTCCTTCGAGAAGCATACGGAAATAATGAAACAGAAATCCGCGGAATGAAAAGTTCTAACGTAGAGAATCAAACCAAGACTGACCCTCACAATTATGCCCAAGGCGTCGTTTCAAGTAATGATCTTCATCGAACCTCTATGCACGTGTCCCCCTTTGTACAGGGAACGTATCAAGGGAATGACTTGAGCAACGCCCTGGCTACCTAATTGGCTTTCAAATTGGGCTCGGAAAGCGATCTTCGAATTACCTAACAATAAGTAGCCCCCGCCAATACATCGCTCCATGTCCGTTGAAAATGTTCGGGAGAGAGGTGTTATATTCAAAAATGGCAGGGTGAACCAACGCGCGCGAGGGCTCCTCGCCGTGGCTCTTTTCCTATCCTCCCTTTTTGAACGACGAGGAGAGCGTCGGGTGCAGACCATACACCACAAGTGACGCGCCCTCCATAAAATATAAATGTTGTCTGCTAATGAAAGATCAACCTTTTGCAGTTGAATTCTATCAGATGTCATTAATTACAACTATCATTTGCCAAAAAACAGCTATCACTACGAACCACTGCTAACCAGATTTATTTGGAGTCCAGCGCCCTTTGTGGTGCATGGTCTGCACCTGATGGACTTCTCGTTTTTTGAAAGTGAGGGTAAATGGTAATGCACACACACAAGTTGCCCTTAAAAAAGTTACGCGCCACTGTTGTATATTTTGTCATGGATAAACTGCATTTTCGGTCACTGCAAATTCACAGAGCAGCCTTCGAAAATGCGATATCGAAAAAGGTGATTTTTTACAAAAAAAATATTAACGAAGAGTGTATAAGGTATTAAGCACGATTTCGGCAATAGTTCTGACCTGTGATCGTAGATCAGTTTTTCGTTCACTCATCATTTCCGAAGTGAGGTACTCATTGAGCTGAAGGTACGAATTTGACATAAATGCGAACAAGTTCCATCAAAAACCTGCTGTACCCACCATTCGATCCCACGTCGAAAGCGTGAGTTGGCAGTAATCAATTCGCCCGACTTCACGTATAACGTTCGCATACTGTTGAAATCTCGAACAACTTCCGTTGATCACGCCCATTAGCTTGAGTAATTCCTTGCAGGGATCCTCGTCTTGTACGGACTCGATAGTCTCATCGAAAAAGTCTTCAGCACTTTTCTAAGCAACGGAGAATCCTTCAGAAGAAACGACAAAGCAAGCAAAATATAATATAAAACATTTTGATGTACATGTAATGACATACAATTATAAGTGACTCTAGATGAGCATGAAACGGCCGCTTGTACGGCAGATATTTCTGGTAGAACTGAGAGTCCCGTAATGCTCGCATACATCTGAACAGAAAAAAATTATGAGAAACGACGAAGGGGAAGAAGCAGAAAACACTATGGAAGACGGTGACACTTCCGTGGTATGACGGAGAGAAATAGCGTCGCGAGGAGAAAAACACGAGAGAACAGTCCTACGCGAGAGAGCGCAAACACCGTGTATGCCGCGATTTATAAGATGGCAGCGGCCGTAGCGGTTAAGTGAATGTTAGTTCCCTTGCCACGCACTGTCAAGTGACGACATACCACCAACTCTGTGATTAGGGGTTATACTACCTCACTCAAGCTGAGAATTCCTCTAAATTCTGATCGCGATCCGCGCCTTCAAAAGCCGGAAACTTTAGGCATGGAGGAACTCGTTCAATTGCTCACTTATACAACAGAAATTCAATAAAAATCAAAACGATGAAGCTTTCGACGGTGATCGATCCCCTTTTGGGATGCGCCACGCATTCTACTCCCGCTGTGAATCGTATTGACATTTGAAGTACTATGGCCTATGCAGTGAATTGCAGGGGTCGATCGATGCACATGTCAATATTTTATTATAACAGACAAGTCTGTTACCAAGTGACCAACCCCGAGCAAATGGAAGACTTGGTTGCTCTGGACGAGATTCAATCCGGGGTATGACCGTTGGACCATGCGCGTGGTAAGTAGGGCCACTTCCACTGCATCACCTGCGCCCCCTCCCAAAAAGGGACTTAATTTACATCCAAAACTAGGGATTTAGCGTTAAAGAAATCAGGTCGCAATGTCGCTGTCTGCATATGCTATGGTAACTCATTAAGGCAGAGAACTGACAGCACAGAGCTCAGCGCACCCTACACGTTTCCTCTCTAAGAGGGACAAAAATATTCATTTTTCGATGAAAACAAGGTACTGATACCAAAGAATAGAAGGGAAGAGACCACGGATAACACTAGAAGGTTCCTTCCAGAAGAGCGTCAGAGGTAGACAACGGGAAAAGAGATACTGACCGAAGAAGAGAGAGAAAGAAATGGACTTGAGAGAGCAGTTGGAATGGGCATTAATAATTTCATGTCAATTTCCGTACCGAAATCGGTGCATTTCGTGTACCCAAAACTGTTCGGCTCTACCCCTCTCGGGTTGGGCTTCACTCAAGTGACCTAATGTGTGGGTAAGTCTTCAAAGATCAGAAGGCAGCAGATCTTACCTGACCAAACTGGCGAATTCCTCAGCTGCATTCCTTTTTGATGGATGAAACCGTCGACGATGCTCAGCAAATGATCGCTTACAATACGTGTCGAAAGCAGAAAACGAAGCGGTTAACATGTCTTCCTCAGCCTGAGCAAGAAAATTTCTCAGCAATCTTCAACTCATAAAAATAATGTGAATAAATAAAACTGGAAAGCTCACCTTATCCAACGTCATTGGCTGCCATTTATCCTGGATATTCTGAAGAGTTTTGGCAAGTAGTGAAAAAGAGATATCGATGGGTATCATGGAATGGAAGGCAAGCCAACGGCTGAAACGGGAATATTTGTGGAGCATTATGAGCAGTTTTTTTTCAGAATCATAGCTACATATGTTACGATTTAAAAGCAGCAAACACGACAGCTGGAGATCAGTGCGGTCTGATGACGTCACCGAACTTCCTTGATGAAATAGAACGCTCAGCGCGTCGGTGGTTGTGGTTGGGATAGCGTCATAGTCTTAATGACTTTCCACCAATGACGTCATCAAAGTCGCAACGCCCTCCAGAATTGTGATCGGTGGCTTTAAGCAACAAAATGAATAGTTAAAAACTTTACCGGAATTAAATTAATCGGTTAACAAACACTAAACAAGCCCTTGCTGGTGAACTTTGGTGCCGATTACCAAAAATCAAGGAAGTAACACTGACCACATGGCTGTATGGACTTCAGTGAGATCACCTTGCAGAGCATGTTGTCGCAGAATAGTGTTTGCTTTATCAGGAAACACGCCATCCCAGAGTCGCACGGGAGCCTAAACGACATTCTGTTGGTCCCACTACGTACAAAGATGTATGTAGTACAATTGACGACAAAATTGATGACATTCAACGAGAAGAAGTATAAAAATTAGTTGAGGAATGGCCCTATCGATTCCCTCTGGAGAAACCCCAACATGACATTTTCACGCTTCCTTTTTCAGAAAAAATATATTCACCATTTTCCAGTGCTCTCTAGATAAGAATCAAACGGTAACTATCAAAAATGGTAACACCTCGACGCCTTGCAAAGATCTGAATGTAACAGGAGACCAAATTTCCGGTTTTCTCACAAGTTTTCATAAGCTTCGGTGGAAGTTTTTGAAGACTATATAATTCTTCGAAGATGAGTCTGCAGCCCGAAGGAGAAGGGGGACATGCTTCTGCAAATGTTCGTGATCCTGGTAACATAGGGGAACATCTCAGAACCTGAGGTTTTCAGGCAATTAATGAAACGGAAATAATTCAGGTGGGTTTGTTGGAATAAGTGGGGACCATGCTGCTGATGTTGTTTGGGCTGCTGTTACGGAACAGTTATCAGAAGTTATTATATATCTGCTTGAGATTTCAGGCGCTGGCAACAGAACTGAAGAACTACATAGGGCAATTGGTAAAATAAAAAAAATAACAAAAGCCGTAGAGAAAGTGCAGAGAAATGATCTCGCTATACAGGAAGCCCATTTAACATGTTCTGCGTTATCTGCAGTCTTCTTGAAAGGATTAAGGGACTTCACAGCAGTCTGTTTTCTTAGCCGCCTGAAAGTCTTGGCAGTACTCACTTTGCACCTCCTCCACGTCCGAAAACGGACCAAAAAGCCTTCGAAGCTTCAAACAAAGTTCGGAGTGTCATACTACTGCTAGATATTCAAAGTATAAACTGCAAAGTCACGGAAGTGTCATAAATACACCGGACCGACTGAAGTATAAAAATCTTTACTCACTCCACTGAGGCGAATTTCATAGAGAGCAAACTGCCGCATAAGCTCAATGTGTTCTTTGACGTCGAGCAGATCGTCTTCTTCAGCCCCGAGCCGCTCCTCTCGAGTAGAAAGCCATAGCTGAAATCATCTGCACTTTTGCACGACAGTGAAGCATTGCAGTTGCTAATGTATACTGTAGTTGGGTGAAAGAGGAGTTGGAGGGGGTCACTTCAATGCACTTTGCGTCTCTAATGCTGGGATCTCTCTAGCGCTAACTCTAAGAGCTTCGATAACATGCTCTTAGTAGTTTTTTTTTGGTAAAGACCGGTGGAAAGTTGTACATCGTACCCAATTCTTCGCACGTCGTCACCCGCTCTGTAGCTCTTTTACTGCTCCAACCCCTTCCTTTTACTTAGGCACAGGCGAGAAAATCTGACCCATGGCTCAAGATCGCTTCTTTATATTGTTTAAAGCAACAGTCCCAGCAGGGTGGGCGTTGTCGGAAACCACTGCAATCCCCTCGGCCAATTCCGACCACGCCCACTTCAGCTTCCTGCCTAGCAGCTTTCCAAGGTGAGTTTTTGTTCAGTCACACTTCTTACGTTCTTGACTACGGGGTGAACAGCTCCGAAGTGGGAATTAGCCGAGGGGATTGCAGCCGTTTCCAACCACGCCCACCCTGCTGGGACTGTTGCTTTAAATTCGATTTAGCAGAACCTTGTCAAAAGTTCATTCCAAACGAGCGTTATCAAAGCTAATACTATATCGTTATCAACCTTCTTCTCCTGATCCTCGGCATTACAGTGCATCAGTAGAGCGACTCGTTCCAATTTTATTTTAACTTTTTTACATATGTAATTAGGACTCGAGCAAATCGAAAAGATCGGCTGGGATCTCTGAGCCAACGCTCTCAAGCTTTCTTGAAGGCAGCGATTACGATCGATCCTGGAGGGGTTCGAAGGGGACGAAGGAATGCTTAATGATACGCAAAACAGTAGAGAAACCCGTCAAGAAAGTGCAAATCCGGACCAGTTTGTTTGACTGTCGATTTTTGCTTAATCTACATAAACGTGATATAAAATTACAAGACAAGTTTTTATCTATGCTTAGGCGTAAAGTCACCAGGATGGAAGATTTTATAAGATCCCAAAAGTCATGGTTGTAGTTTCTCCTTTTAGCTCTCATACTCAGCCGAGTTTTCAGCTCCATCTTACTAAAGATGTCCGTTGTACTGTTTCTTTGCTTTGATGCTCAGAATTCAACAAAATTTTCCTCACACCCCATGTTCCTATCTCAACAGAATTAATGTATGAAAAAAAGGAGGTATGATCAGACCAAAAAAGGTTGGTTCCCATTAAAAACACATGCGCGACAATTTGACAGCCGCAAACAGAATAGCCTCTTCTCGTCTTTTCTCAAATGCACTATTCGAAATTGCCCTGTGGCGATCATCAATAGCTTTATTGGCTTTACTGCCACAATCTAGCGCAAGATGAACCAATGTGATGATGTCATCGCCGCAACATCTGAGCCGGAGCATCTCATTGGCAATCATTGCTTTTATGAAACATCACTCATAGCGTTCCATTGGCAGGGTTACCGAAAATATAGGCCTTCGAAGAGTACGAGTATGAGGTGCCCAGCGAGCTCCAAATGTTGATGTTGAACTAGGAGTCAGAAACGGGACTCAATAAACAGCGTCTTGAAGCCGACACTGTGAAGTAACTTTTATTATACTTCTTCAAAACGTTGCTTGCTTTGTTCGGAGAAATTTGTAACCAAACACTATCGCGTCAGAATAGAATGGATCACGAATTCATGACGTACCCATGAACTTTTATCTGAAAATACCTTCGTAGAAAATTATTATATCAAATGCCTTGAGAGTGAAGCACCTCCAATCAGGGTCAACCCTACGTTGGTACAAGTACTAACGGGGGGGGGGGGCGTAGTTTGTTGAAGTGTGTGGTGGGCGGATCGTACTTGTGTCGGTAGCACGAACTATATGTGATCAGGTGAGAGCGCCCAAATAAAAACCACCATACCTTCAACTTCACACTGCCTGAGACCTTGCTTTTTTCGGATCGAGGTTGTAGAGGAAACCAATGCTCGATTCCATCTGGCGGAATATCCTAAACAAGATCTTGCTGAATTTTATGTTTCTGCTGAGCGCTCCCTTTACTCACGCTTAGGTTCATACTAATACATCCTAAAAAGTCGTCAGTGGTATCGTCAGAATCGGCTCGAGCACTTTGAGCTACCTCTTTGAAAAAACGGCCAAGTCCCTGAATAATGAAAATATTCTCATAAAATTATGCTAATTTATGCAAAAAAAAGTGTTCTGGCACAAACCAGAATACGACTCAGAATAAATGAGTGGAATTCGTAAATATAGGATCCATCTGCTACAATCGTTTAGACCTGCTTTTTTCCTGCGGAAGGGGTATCAAAAAACACGCAATGAAAACTTCAGAAATAATCATCTGGGACTAGTTCTCTCCACATTCACCCGGCTCCCCACTCACGATTGGAGAAATGCTAGTAAAGGCAAGATATAGTGAGCCTTTCAAGGTATTAGGTTGGAAAGAAAGTTCTGCAACACTCTTTCTAAAATTTTTTTTCTGAAAAATTCATAGGAAACATTCATGACCAAGAAACGGTGAGCATACTAATTGACGGGGTGGATATAAGTGCTGCAGTCAATAGTTATCCAAGAAAATTTAAAAAACCTCGACCACAAGTAAATCCGTACTCCAAGTCACTGTCCGATACAAATGTCTGCATAACTATGGATTCGTGTCAAAGACCAGCACTATCTGCAATAGCTTCAATAGGCATGTCGTTCACCGCTACAACATGTTTCACCTTCACCAGCGCTTTCGATCTTTCGATATTCTTATGAAGAGCCAGTAGCGTCCCGCACACTCCATTACAGATAGGGCTGTTGCGGAAGCTCCACCGCAAATTCTTCGTTACGAGCACCATTGTGTAGCTAGAAGTCTAGGCTACGGAACTCCAGAAGCTGGCCGAGGCAGCTTGTCAGGACCCCTCGTACCGCAACAATAGCGAATCGCCATGATCCGAAATGAGCCCGGTAAGAGATTCTGGAGCTGCGGCAAGATTTCCTACCTCTCGTATCGTATTCACCTGGTCGACCTATAAATGACTGCCACCTATCCTGGACCATAAATCATCATCTTAGTGACGAAATCATTACACGATCAACTCCAGCTCGAAAGTGAGATCGCCTCCTTTCTCGAACCGCACGTTGCTGGCTTTTGACGAAGGAGCATCAGGGAATTTTCTGAGCTTTGAAGGGAAGCGGCGGCCACACATGGTAAATAAATGACCGATCAGGAGTTGTAAACAAAAAAAAGATAAAATTAGAATCAAAAATTCAAAAAAGTTTTGCAGGACCTTCTTTCCAACCTAATATTAGGTAGTCCCCGTCAACGACCCTCAATGATAGTAAATGAAACTTGAATAGTGTAAATTTTGCTGAAAACTAGCATAATCAATAATTTCGACATCACTTTACAACAGTTATTAATTCCCCTGGCACTCTTGGTGATTTATTTATTGTTTAGATTTGAAAGAAGTACGCTCAGAATTGCGGCAGACGGGGCACCAAATTGAGACGGTTTAAGAAACCGATTTCGAGTGGTCCCCAGACGCCAGGACAATTTCTTCACCGTGAGGGAAATGGAGCTTATCAACACTTACGCTTGGGAAGACAAGTGTACCCGACAGGAGATCTGTCACGCGACGAGAAGGCAGAGACGCAGACGGTTTAGCGGACGAGTAGCAACGCGCAGTGAAATGATTTTGCATTGACTTTAACAGAATGTACTATAGTACGTCCCACATCAGTCAGCACGCACTGTGACATGACCGCTGACCCTTCTGCGCCTCTGCCTTTTCACCGCGCGACGGGCCTTCTGTCGGCTACCCGGAATGCGAGCAAACATTTTTATGGACAAAATGCGGTTTATTTTTATAACGTTCAGTTACTGAACAAAACTGCTTATTGGTGGAAGATCGAAATATTTTTTTCACCTTGAATCCTCCGGTGATTTGGTTCAGCGACGAAACTGCATCCAAAACCGACTGCTCTTCATCATCATGGTCCCTTGAATGCAAAAGTTTCATATTTATAGTTCAAATAGCTTCCTTTCCAGAATGTTATTATTCAAACCATGCTCCACTTTCATTGAGAACAAATGAAACAGAAATGGGGAAGATTATTGATTAATTGCCATTTCTATTTTGATGCACTGATTTCATTGGGATGCTAGCAAAACAAGGCACTCAGAATACCCAGTTTTTTTTCACCAAATTACAGCGATAGTAAAAAAACAGTCCTAGGAGCTCATACCATCTAGGCAAAAACTGCTCTCTAAACTGAAATTAAATTTTATTGAAGCTTCTCAGATTTGCAGCACTTTACTCAGTTTAGTATCAACCTACTTCCCTTCGATTTGTTTTCTCAGTACTATATTTCTCAGTACTATTTTCTCAGTACTATATTTTGAAAAAAACCGCTCCATCTACTGCTTGGTCAACACAGCGAAAATAATGAAGATAAGTCAACCAAGCAATGATTTTGCAGTATTCGCCATCGCGACGAAAAACTGCCGCGCGCAACAGTTACGCGGGTGGGATGAATGTCAGACTCGGCGATTGCGCAATCGCGACAGTGTCCTGGCTTTTTGATGCACAATGGGCAAGTTGGGCGTGTCTTTATTGATCCGTATGGTTTGCGCTAGGCGTGCCAATCGCCGAGTCGCCGAGTCTGACATCCACCTAACGACTGGCGACTGCCGCCAGCTTGATCGCGCGCGCAGTTTTATGCGTCGAATAGCGCACGGCGATCACATGTGTCACACTCCTTACCGGATTTTTCGATTTGATCGTAATTCCATAAAGAAGTTCCAGCTCACCAAATGTCCATATGAAAACGATCGGTCTGTACATCATCGACGATGAATTGAAATCTCTCATTCCATTGAGGGTTCAGGGTTTTCCTCTGAACAGAGCTCGCCTTGATGAGTTTCGCGGGAATCGTACCACTATCTGATCCTTAAAACTTCGCTATAATGATTGAAAAATAACCATAGCATAGGGATCATTCTGACAAAACATATCTTGGAACCTTTCTTTCCAACTTTACGTCGGAATGAGCCGCCGAATCTGTGCAGGACACTGTCTCGTTTCAGCTGAAGATACGCTTTTTAGTGTTTAACCGGGACTTTTGCTCTGTGACACGGAAACTTCAGTCTCTCTTTGCATTACTATGTTCAGCTTCAAAACTAACCTGGTTTCTTGGTGATTTCACACCCTCTTCTTCATTCGGTTCAATTACCTCAGCCCTTTCTCGTTTCCCCGGAACCACACCCATCATTGTGAACGGGTCGCTGAATCCTAAAATTATTAACGGTTCATCAATCTGCTTCTTCCATTCAGAAGGAAGTCAATCAAATCGCCACATCCATTGAGAAGAAAAAAACCTGCCATGAATCATATTACCGGTTGGAGGCCCGCGAACCTCAATTTATCCTTTTTTAGAGCTTGTGCTCCCGAAAACCCTGAGATTCCGACCAGACTTAGCTAGACGAAATTATTGCAGTACGCACTGCGATCCGACCGCTGACCCGTCTGCGCCTCTACCTTCTAGCTGCGCGACGGGTCCTACTGTGGGTCCGTGCCAGGGTCAACAGTCCGTTGGACAAAGTCCAACGCATGGCTCTCTAGCGTGTGAGAGTAATGCCGAGAGTTAACGTACGCACGGAGACACAGACGGCTCGCGCAAGGCGAGTGTGAATGCCGGCGCGGAGAGTGGTCAGCGTCGGTCCAACGTCTTTCCAATGTCGGTCCAACGTGACGGTTGACCCTGGTCCGTGCTGTCTTACAGGTATCCTGTAAGCTTATAACCCCTAACAAGAACAGTAATGTGGGCTTCCCATCTTAAGTAAGCTGGATTATGCTGCAGATGCTTTGAATTAGGTTGTGTGAACGAATAAGGACCGCGATATTTATTTTATTTTTATGCATGGAAGCTTCTTGTCGTATAACGAAGATCTAGGGCAGGGTGCAGCAGTGCCGGTCTGGGATGGATCTCCGAAACTCCGCATCTACGCATCCCCCTATCCTTGACCACGATGCATCATCAACAGGAGTAGAGACGTCGAGTTTTGGGTACCCGTCCCCGGCCGGGTACTGCTCCCCACGACCCCTGATGACGAGGACTAGAAAGACCACGTAGTACGTTTTCGGACCTACTGAGAAGAAAAGACACCGACTAGATTAGACCATTGGCACGTCGATAAGTTTAAGTCCTAAGCGCCTAGCGCCTCTGTGGTGCGTTTAGAGGCGTGAAAGACGAAACAATTAGAATATCTGTGCGTCCCAACAACCTCTCCACAAGTATTTCGCTCCGAAATGAGGGTGAACACTGTAACTGTTTCCCCGCTATCACAATTTTTTTCAAGCGCAGAATGAGGAGGGACAATCAACTCGCGGAATTCTTCCGGAAATGGAGAAAGAGTTTGTAATTATTCTACTGACGTAATAAATTTTAATCAAACTGCGATCTGCTCACTCACCATTGATGTCTTTTGCTATGAGATCCTTTGCCTCGAGAAGGAGCACATTAAGAAGCACAACGGGCGGCTACAGTAGATTTTGTTAGTCTATTCAATGTGGAACGGAAAACGACACAAAGAAATAGATGAAAAAATAAAGAATGAATGAAATCGTACCTTGTTCTGTTTCGCCTTCTCCATGAGAGCATTGTGCAGCTGTGTGTCTCCTTGGAAAGCAGATCGCACATATTTGTAGAGATTTTCTCGACTCTCACACTCTTCTTTCCCAACCTTGTGCGTTATTGTGTACAATGCTTCCACGTACAATGCCTACAAATTGATTAATAGTGGGTCGAAATCTCCGAATACTAGAAAAAGGACCGAATTCTGCGTAAATTTGAATATATAGAAGGTGTGATGAGCGTCCCGTAGCCCGAATTTGGATATGAAATTGAAGCACTCAAATGCACTCAAAGCACTTAAATGGTATTGAAAAAGCAGCTGTTGGTGTAGGAAAACAGTTGAATTTTATAAGGTACGTTCTATCGCAGGATGTAAAGAGGGATCACTTCTGAAGGCATGGGTCATGATCGAATTGGCGTTATTTTGTGCGAAAGTAAGATGGGAAGTGCGAAGATATGATCTGTTAGTGGGATAAAAAAAAGTAGAGAACATCAAAAAAAACACTGAAATTCTCGTAAGGTCGACTATGATAGTATGGAGAGACACAGGGCTTCGAGGAGAAGGAAAACGCGAGAGAGAATGCAGTACGCGAGAGGGCGCAGAGGCTACGTTCGCAGTAATGGACAAGCGTGGCAGCGATCGCAGCGGTTAGGCAAGGGCTGTAGCTCCCTTGTCGCGCACAACCAAGTCAACGGCGCCGGGTGCCCCCCAGGAGGCCCGTCGCGCAGCAAGAAAGCAGAGTCAGCGGACGAGTTGCAGCGCGTGGTATACGATGTAGAACGTGCAGTGAGACACTCTATTTAACTTGACGCGAAATCCCTATAGCACGCGCGCGACTCGTCCGCTGACCTTGCCTTTTTGCCGCGCGACGGGCCTCCTGAGGGGTTCCCAACGGCACCACTACCCTGTGATTAGGAACCCTGCTACTTCATTCAAGGAATTCCTCTGAGAACTCAATCGCAACCCTTGCCTTTTTTTCTCGTCAGACCTTCCACGAAAACTTGCACGTTTTTATGAAACAACCGTGGGGTAACATGCAAGTGCTTAAGAAAAAGGAGAGGTAAAGGCATTTCCAAGAGCTGAAATTTGTTTTGCATCAACTGAATGAGCGCAAAAACTTGATAAGTCCAAACAACAGCTACCAAAATCAACCCAAGGTTTCTGAGTTTTCTCTGTGGTGCTTTGTTTTTCCGCCGATATATTATTACATACATAGACATACTAAGAATTAATATAATCAGATTGATATTTCAATGTTTCGGCTACTTTCAATAGGGACTCATCTTCCAAAATGACCGCGGGTCACCGACATCAGCTTTAAACTGGAGGGTTGGCTGGAAAAAGATTGGAGGAGGGGACCCTAAAGTGTGACAAGGGGCGATTACTCCTATTTCGACAGAGCGTTTTCATTGCCATATGTGCTTATGACGATGGAAAAGTCCATTTCATTAATAACGAATGAATGCGTTTTTTCGGCTCAACCCTTCGGCCAAAATATGACGCTATTGACACCGTACCTCGAGCTGTTTTCGATTCGGCATTCAGGGTGAGGTTACGTATGTGAGAAGTTCATCATCGCCTGTTCATCCACATCCACGGTTGAGTGATTCGCTCGAAGAAGTTGTTTCCGATGCTTGAACTCTGAAAAATAACAATTGTTATTGAATGAGTTATAATCTAAGTCGTCGATATTTCCACACTTTTACTGGTTCATGTATATAAAAATCATAATATATAAGGAGTTTCTTTGGCGGGTCTGTGTCAAGATAACGTAAACCTAAGAAGCCGATCTCGTAGTCTTTCAAAAATGTCTTCGTCCCTCACCAACAAGTCTTTTGATGGAATTTTTATTGCTGAAGCCTCAAATCGCAATGTGCTGCCCTCAAAACTATGGAACAAAACGTTCGGCACCTGTGGTTTTTCTCAGGGGAAATAGATTTGAGAAGCGTTTAGGTGCTTTTAGAAAGAGCAAATCTCTGTACTTCACCACATGAGAAAAGAGCATTTCTAGAAGGGGAAAATGAAGGTGAGTTATGCTCGCTTGAAACCAAATAACTCGCGATGTCAAAAAGTGTTCGCACCCCCCCCAAATGTTCGAATGTGTGGTTTCTTTGAAATAATTGGAAAATGCGTTATAGGGTTGTTAGGAAGAGCGAATCCATTCTTCACCATGAAAAAGTGCATCACAGAATTGAAAATGAAGTGATTATGGCGCTGAAATGCCAAAAACTCGCTTTGCAGGAAATGTTCGAAACGGGACAATTTTTTCTTAAAAGAAGTAGTATCAGTAATTTTTATACTGCTTTGATAGAAAATTTGTGACGTTTTTGAACCTTTTGACAGCTTCCATTAGGTCGTATACGAAAATATTTATGGCGTTTCAAAGTTGAATTTTGCATGAGTTTTGATTTTCGCCTTGTAATGTTGGGTTTTCGCTTCTACAGAAGGTACTTCCAGCAGGTAGGCAATCCTTTGTAGTGGAAGCGCTCGCAGCCACAACAAATCCACCTTCAACAAGTTAAAAAGTACGTGCCAAGCAAGTTATATTCCCCCTAAAATTTTTCTCGCCGCTCCCGTCTTCCAAGGCCGGGGTGATACCTGACGCGCTCCAAGGCGACGTTGACGACGCGCAGCCGCTGTCTGGCGCCACGGATTCATGTTCGGCAACTCTTATTAACAAAACGTGCGGGGTTCGATATGGCCCCCTCGAGAGCTATGGCGGTCGCGAAAATCCCAAAAATGTTCGAACGTGACGGTTGACCCTGTCCGGGAGCCCAGTTCCACTCATGATCAGGGTTGAATCTGGGGTTTCGCAGCGGAAAGCTTCACGCTGCGAGAAGCAAGAAAGTCGCTCTCTGTCCTAACGACTCATACTCAATCTTTATCAGTGAGAAAAAGAATAAAACCAATCCCACTCGTCTTCTACTTTTTGTGGGCGACCAACAAAATTGCTATGGTGTTTGTGGGTAATTATAATAATTAAACGAAAATCCAAGGGGGAGGGGAAAGAGCACTCCGTTGCTTTTCTCAAATACTTAAGGTAATAATGGGAACACTCTGACACGTGGACTTATGAAAACTATGCTACTGATAAGAGCCGGTGTGTGGGGAAGTAATCCTGAGGTGCTTCCACCATTTGGCCTGCAATGACCAAAGAAACAGTTCTGAACCAGGGACATGAAGATCT